AGGAGGCCAGGAGGGATGGGCAAGGCGTGGAAAGGAGTGTAGGAATGGAGAGGCGGATGAGTGTTGAGGCAGGGTGAGAGGGAAGTGGCGGGAGGGAGAGTAAGGGGCGGGCGAGGAGAGAAGGTGGGTCGGAGAGAGAGAGGGAGAGGTCGGAGGAGAGAGGGAATGACGGGAGGAGAGGAGGGTAGGGGAAGGAGGGTGAGGGCTGGGACGACCAGGTCTAGGCGTCCGGACAGAAAGCTTGAGGGAGCAGGGACGCAGGGAAGGATGAGTGTACAATAGAGATGGGGCGAGGAGGGCAAAGAGCAAACGCGAGTGCCGATTGATCCGTGGAAAATGGGGTTCGCTGCTTTGGTCGCAGTAAGCATGGGTCTCGAAAAAAAACCACACTCGATCGCCTCATCCAACAGAAGACCTCGAAATTTACAACTCTATCTCCAGTGGAGTTTCTTTGCGTATTGGCGAGCGCCCACATGTCTGTTCATCATGTGTACGTGTTGGAGGTGCGATATCGACGATTTCTGTGCAATTTCACAGTAGAGCTCATCAATCAAGAAAGTACTCCTCTCTACCTTCAATTTGAGTGTGTAGTTGATTGCCAATAGATATATAAATACTTATTAATCCACGCTTGGTTATTAGATTATTATTTTTCGTTTATGTTCTGATACGAACCACTTAAGTGCTTTACATTTAAATAATTCAATTCATGTGAATGTTGACGAAGATGACGTGTGAAGATATTCATCTGATTAATATTACATAAAATCGAATTTTTTTATATTTATAACGACGTTATTAGATACATATTTAAATCTTGTCAATATATTATATGTTTTAACGTGCTTCGTAGATTTTTTCATTTTACATTGCTCATTCCTTATCCTATTCAATTTTTGATTATGATATATTATTACGTTATATGTTGGGTACAGTAACAGTTACAATATAGGAGGCTCAATGATTACATTTACTGATAGATTTAAAATCTTTCTAACGAATTTACACGCTCTTTGACCAAACTGAACAAATAATATCATGTTTAATTATTAATTTAATTTTTTCGCTTCCCTATCTAATTTTTTTGTGTATGTATCTGTAACATGCATATTTTTATAAATCATAGTTACTTTCATATGTCATATCTAATTATTTTCTGGCCTTAACCGGAAATTACGATACTAGAGACTTGAACGCCACCGCAAGTACTGAGGCTGTGTTTATTAAGTTACTTTTTCGCTACCTAAAAGACACAATTCACTGGACCGCAAACATGACGAAGGCAACCATTGGCTGCACAGTAGCCAAGAAGGACGCACCTTGCTCAATGATTTTAGTTACAACCTAATGAGGGCGACGATACGACCACCTCCTTCTCCTCGATTCGCCATTTGACGCCGACGCCACCTTTGCGAGAGTATGACACATGCATGTTTCCATAAACGTCCTAAGCACTTTCATGTAGTATTTCTTAAAACTTGACAATACTCCTGTGTTCATGACACCGAGCAGCGCGTCCCTTCATCGACCGTGGTTTCAAATAGAATACGGTCAAACTAAGATAGTGGTTTTTACTTGAGAAGGAATGGCTTCTGACATTTCATTTTACTGTATTCTTTCATATAAAATTTTAAACATAATGACTATACTGCAGTATGAATACAATTGTAAATGAGTGTGAAACAATCGAATGCCAACTAAAATGTATCTAAGAGCACAATTACAAAGTATCAAATCCAGTTATCCGGTGGCGAATTTGCAGGCTTCATCAATATTCTCTTCTCATTGTCCTTGTTTTGTGACACTACCACCTTTATTGATCGGCATCGAACTTACCAGACTAGCCATGAAATATTTTTAATAAAATGTATGCAAATACGACAACGGGTTGTTTATTGGAAATTCTAGGGTTTCATAAGAAAAATATAACTTTGGCGTTTGCTTAGTCTCTTGTCCAGTAGGTGACCGAGCGATGCCGGCATGGCGCAAGCGTTTCGCTGCAAGCTCCACGTTCGCCGGCTGCCGCCGTTAATCAGAGGCGCGTCAGACGGCTGACTATATTGCATTCTCCGATACGAGCGGCGGTGGTGAGGAGCAGGGAGGGGTGAAGGGGCTGGGACGACCAGGGCTAGGCGGGAACAGAAAGTGAGGGGAGAGGGGACGAGGAAAAGAGGAGGGGCGGAGGGAAAGAGGCAAACGCGAGGCGCCAGGAGCCGTGAAAATGGTGGCTTTCTTCCCAGTAAGCATGGGTCTCGAAAAAACACTAACTCGATGCCTCACCCAACAGAAGACTTCGAAATTTACAACTCTATTCTTCAGTTGGATTTTCTTTGCGTCTGCGAGCGCCACATGCCTGTTCTCATGTTTACGTGTGAGTGGGATACGACGTTTCTGAATTTTTGAGAGCCTCAATCAAGAAAGTAGTAACTCTCTTACCCTTAATTAAGAACTGTGTGTTAATGTCATAGATGCTATAGGATAAAACGTATTAAATCACGCTATTATTAGATTATTATTTTTCGTGATGTTCCTGAAACGAATAAATTTACTTATAATGCTTTACATTTCAATAAATGTAGTGAATGTTGAAAGAAACATCTAATCAAGATGACCAAAACGAATTTCAGTAGATATTATAACGACGTATATTAAAACACAAATTATCTCGCAAAATATCACAAAATATAGTTTTTCAGTGTTCAATAGTTTTTTCATGTTAATCTTCCTTATAATTCAAATATTTTATTAAGCTATATTAGTTGCATTACATCTTACAATAAACAAGATTCAAAATATTACATACTGAATAGTATAACTCTTTCTAAACGAATTATTACACGCTCTAGCACATACTAACAGATAGAAACTAATTAAAGAACTTTAAAAGCAATAAATTAAAATTAAAATCTACATAGAAAACAACAAGACAATTACATTAAAATGTACTCCGACTTTTCAGATAATGAAGTTCTAATGAAAATAGAACGACAATGACGACTGGTGTCGGCTGTGGCATGTTTGTGCTACTAATATATTTGATTTTCGCCTTTCACTATCTAATTATTTTTAGTTCTGTATCTGTAACATGCATATTTTTATAAATCATAGTCATTTCATAAGTCACAATCTAATAATAATTTTCTGGCCTTAACTTCAAATCAGATACTAGAGATTAAACCTCCCGAGTACTGAGGGCCTGGTGGTTTATACCACCCTTTAGCTACCTAAAAGTCACAATAATGGCCACAACATAAACGAAGGCAAACCATTGGCTGCAAGTGGCAAGAGAGGCATCTTCTCAATAATTTTAGTCAACCAATGAGGGCGACGATAGACCACCGCCTCCTCCTCCCATTCGACCTTGACGCCGACGCCACCTTATGCGAGAAGATAGCATGCAAATATTACCATAAACGTCAGCACTTTTAGTAATCAAAATACTTGACAATACTTCATGAGTAGAAGAGAGACGCAAATATTCTTCATCGACCGTGATTTCAAATAGAATACGTCAATAGGAATGCTTTTACTTCGAGCAAGGACAAGCTTGTACATTTCATTTTATAAGAATGTGAAATTCCTTGTTCTTTCATTAAAATTTTAAATAATGACAACTGCGAGATGTTGTGAAAATGAGAATTTTTCGAAGAAAAATCGATGCAAAAAATGTATCTACATAGCATAGTACAAACGTATAAATCCGTTTCTCGTCAGTGTCAGCATCTCAATATCCTCCTCTCATTGTCATTGTTTTGTGAACTACCGCCTTATGAGGGCACGAACTACCACTGGAATGATATATTTTTATTGTTCTTCATGTTTATCAAATGTATGCAAAACGTCAACGGCTTACGAGAAAATTCAAAAGTGTTTTGAAAGGTCCATAAGAAAAATAACTTTGGAGTTGCAGTTCTTTCCAGTAGGTCCGAGCCGAGCCGGCATGGCGCAAGGCGTTCGCTGCAAGCGCCACCGTTCGTTGGCTGCCGCCGTACATCAGAGGGCGCGTCAGACGCTGATAATTGATTCCGATACGAGCGCGGGTGGCGCGCTCTCGCGGTGCGGCGCCGCGATACCCCGCCCTCGCCTTGGCCCACCCCGCTCCGTCCCGCGCCTCCCGCCGCGCCTCGCCGCCGCAACCACCAACCCCATGCCGCCCCCAGTATCGCCTTATGTGCCCCGCACCGCCCGCTCGGCCCGCCCGCTCGGCCCCGCCCCGCTCGGCCCCGCCCCGCTCGGCCCCGCCCCCGCTCGGCCCCGCCCCGCGCGGCCCGGCCCCGCGCGGCCCCGGCCCCGCTCGGTCCCGCACCGTCCCATTCTGCCTCACCCTCCACATCCTCCACACCCTACGTCGCCTCAGTTCCCGCCTTATGCCGCCCCTTGCCTTGTCCCGCCCCTGGCTCGGCCCCGGCCCTTGGCTCACCCAACACGCTCCATCCCGCCTGGACGTTGCCCTTTTCCCCCTCTCATCCCTTCCGCCGTCGAACCCGCTCCGCCTTGGCGCAACCGATCATCGGGTTCCCCGCTTACGACGCTTGACCCGCCCCGCTCGACTCTTGATCTTCACAGCTCGGTTAACCCCCTCTAGGGTGCCGCCCCCACCACGTCCCCACGTTATGCCCGACATCTCGACCCAATTCGGTCCCCTCTCCGCCTTGTCGCACCCCGGCCCTGCGCCACGTCGCCCTCAGCAGGCTCTCCCATCGCCACCACCGTGGTCTCTCCGCCCCGTTCCTTCACGCCCGCCTGGCTCCGTCTCACCCCGCCCCGCTCCGCTCCACCCCACCCCCCTTTCCAACCCCGCCCGCCCATCCACGGCCGCTATTGACGCTTGTGTTCTTTTTCGGCTTGCCCCCCATCTCCTTTAGGCCCCACAACCCACTTCTTCGGACGCTGGCTTACTATCGACTGGAAATCGATTCTGACGCTTCACGAATTCTTTTTTTTTTTTCTTTTTTCGGTATCTTTTTCTTTTTCAGTGCTAGGCAATTTCTAAAGAAATAATCCCAAACAAGAATATTTGTTGAATGAGTCGTTGTCTTTATTCATCACATAAGTAATTTGTTTGCAGACCGTAAATTTCAGAGTTAAAGGCTTACTAAATTTTCGTATTGCGTAGGAAGTTCAGTTAAGTAAAATATCTCTCCAATCGGTGTTCGTGAAAGGGAAAATGAGATTAACGAACAAATAGTCATATAAAAATTTACCTTCCTTTGTAAAAAGTTCATATAAAATGGATTGTTAATATATAAAAATGTTAATACCTGATTTTCAAGCGGTGTAATATTGAGATTGGAAAGGCTCTGCGGGACTCGTAATATGAACATTTTATTTCCGTCAGCAAGTCGGCATATCAGGATAAAAATAACCTCTAGACACATATAGATACATTTTAAAATTTATTTTAGGAAAACTGGAATGCGACTCATTTGCACACGGATGCTTGTTGCTACTGTTATCTCTAAGTTAAGGTAAGATCCCGTATTTTTCTAGGGATAAATGAGACCCTGAAAATTTGCGTTACTAGTTCACAAGTTAATAACTTGTTGTAGCAATTGCCATTAAAAATCGTTATTTAGGTATACAGTCCTACCGAAACAGCTAAAAATGTCGGAAAAAATAAACAAAATTCGTCGCATCGAATACGACCTAAGCCATAATGGATCCTCTTTCAAAACACACAAAATAAAGAAAATTCAAAGGAATAAAAAATAATAGTTAAAATTGTTTTATACAAAAAGATATGACATATGGTAAAAGAAATGTTTTAATAGAAAAGAAGGTCCAAAATTGTAATTACCTATCCTCTTGTTTTAGGCTGGCATGTCTACATGTACTCTGCAGGTTGTCTGCCCTAATGTTCTGCAGGTTGACGACCGAAGGAAGTCAGGTAACCTCTCAAGGATCTGACAGCGAATTTTTCGTTTCTGTTTCTCACCTTCAATTGGAATGTTAAGTTACCGAAAGATTCCGGAAAAAATCATTCATCACACAACACAACTTCTTAATTATATATGGTAATACAATAGAACGTATTGCTTATGAAAGTAGAATTATGTCAACATGCAGAACTTTTTTTACAAGGTCACAAAAAATTGTTGTTTTTAAACATTTACACGTTTGCGAAAGGTTTCAAATGGTGGACTCTCTTATTTCAAAGCCCAGCCCAAATTTCCCTTAATTTCAGAAAAAATTAAATACACATGACCTAACATTAGTTTCAATAAATAGACATTACCAAGGAAATAATATTCAAACTAGGTGTCAAATACTTCGTAATACGCTAGTTACGGCAAACGTGTGCAACGCCTGCATGGTCGCGTTTTGAGCGCACGCCATTTGCCTCTCCCTGGGGCGCCTCCCGAAATGCGTGCGGCCGCCGTTTGTGTCGCGTAGCCGCGATCGTAATGAAGATGCTGGCGCTATCGAGCGCCACTCGCGTGGCGGCCGCCGACCAGCAAACGCAAAATCGGGCCCGCGTCGCGCCGCCCCCCGCCCACTCCGCGCGAGTAAATCTTCAGAAATTGTGTTAATTTTTGTAAGCAAATACGATGCATACGCAAAACATCGCGCGTCGACCGCTCTGCGCCCACCGGAACCCCATGGATGGGCGCACACTGTGGCGGATGCGTAAACGGGGCGGGATGGGCTGGGTGGGCGAATGGGCGGTGTGGATTGCGGGGAGAGGCACGGAGGCGCAAGAAGGGGCGAGGGAGGGGCGGGGAAGGTCGGGGAAGAGCGAGGGTAGTGGCGGGAAGGGAGGGGCGGGTTGAAGGTCGGGAAAAGCGGGAGGGCGGAAGTAGGGGCGGGAAGGTAGGGCGGGGAAGGGAGGGCCGGGAAGCGCGGGGAACGACGGAGGGCGGGAAGAGGGGCGGGAAAGGGAGGGGCGGGAAGGAGGCGACGGGGAAGGGGCGGCCCGCGGGTTGTGCCGGGGGGGACAGGCGGTTAGGGGCAGCGACAGTTTTCCGCTTTTGCCCACAACATGCACTCGTTCCCGGCTCTTTTTTTTCGATCCCTCACACCCTCACACACAACCCCATTCCCCGCCACCCCCACCCTCAACCCCACTCTCGCACATTGTCTCTCGTTTTGATGACGTCCTCACCCCGATTGCTCAGTGGGCGCGATCTACATCCGGTTGGGAAAGCAGTTTCATTGAATGCTTCGCTGATTACAGACTTTTGTTGTTGTTGTGGATTCCACCACGCACCCCCTTCCCCTTTCCTTTTCCAGCGCCGCCTGCAAATCCAATTATCCGTGAATCGGGCCTTCTGGTCGCTTCCGCAGCCACGCGCGGCCCTACATAAAAATGTCCTTTTAATAGGCGAGTGTAAATTAATGTAATTTCCTGTTGTTTATGCAGATAATAATTACGGTTTTTTTTTCCTCCGTAGCTTTTCATCGTCCTGTGCGGCGTTTTCGGACATGCGTAGCCCGATAAAAAGAGGGTTTAACAACTCAAAATTTGCATGCGTAGATAGAAGTTCGGTAACTGATGCATCGTAACGCGCCCAAGGCCGTGGGCGGTATGGGCGATGTGGGGGGACGGTGCACGGGGACGCGCAGTTGCCGATTTTCCGAGATCCAGGAAGCGCACGTGCGAGCCGTCGCCGTCTCGTTGGAATCTGAATTTCCATCGGTTTGATGTCCCGCTCGTCCTATTCCACCCAGACCCTCCGTTGTTATGTAAACGAACCGTTACTAAGGGCGCCCGGGATTCCGAGCACGTTCGTAATGGTTAGTGAACGGAGGGATCGAATAATTATTTTCCTCTCGATTCCATCGCGCCCCGGGTCGAGGTCCGCGAGAGGTCTGTTTCTGCCAGGTCGGAATCGGCCGTCGATTGTTCGGTGCTTGGCATGCCATATCGGGCCGATGGACGAGGGCGGCGGCAAACGCTGCGCACGGGGTCCGAATGAGAGGCGCGATCACCACGGTGATGGCGGTGATTAGCAAGAGGTGCGCGAATTATCGCGGGGACGCGTATCGCTTGCAAGTGGCTCCATCTAGAACACGAATTTATCACGGCGATAAACTAGCAGGGTTTGGTACGTTCGGATACCGACGCCCTCGTCCTTTTCCGTGTGCAGCACTTATGTGGACAGAATATGGCAGTCCCAGACCCCTCAATATAAGTGACCTTATTGCAACCAATATCAATTTTCGATTTCAGAATTGAAGTTAGTAAGTGATGTATTGTGTGTCCCTGAAAAGTTTTAAGACGCAGCAAAACAGTAACAGCCGAAATTATATTTTCATTGATTCTAAATACAACTGTATTGCCAGGAACAGTCTTGGGATTATTCATATTTGTACCTTATTCAAGGGATCAAAATGCATTTAAAGTAAGTCAGTTTGACGAAGATTGTAAGATCAAAAGAATTTGCATCAGAACGTACAAGCAATTTTGGTATGTTCCTAAAAAATGTTAATGTATTAGCGTTGTACAAGATTGTTTTTCTACTCTTCTATGTGTTTTGGGAGTTATACAACAATTTAAAAATGTTTATAGAAAAAAATAATGTTTAAGTAAAATTTTGCATTAAAAACACGAAATTAAGAAAGTAAAATTAATCATTAAGAAGCTAAATGATTCACAAGCGTAGAATTTCCAGCGCCATGATGATCATGCGATTTTTACGAGTGGTTTATCTTTATAATAATCTCACGGATTCGTGACCATAAATCAAATTAACATGTTTTTCTGAACAATAAAAATAAATTTTAACATTCATGCATAAACATTTTAATGTGACATGGAATAATTATAAGTTTGTAAACAGGACATTAATTGTATCTTGATCATAGAATCGACTTTTTCCATACAACCGACTTTGTTTACCAAACAGGCGCTCAATAGATGATACGAGATATTTCATTGAATATATTAATGCATTATTAAGTGCTATGACTTACAATGTTCGTGTATTATTGTGGGTGTGTTCCCGATGTTTAACATCACATATATTGTGTAAAGTAAATTGAATTAACTTGTTAGCATACCATTATCTATTGTATTACGCACGTTACGTATTTATCAAAAAATTCAGCCCAGTATATAATGAAACAATGAAGTAAAAAGTTTGCAAGTAACCCAGAAGGTCCTCAATAGGCAAATTTCGTAGTGTGACATGCGGGAAAAAAGCAGTATAATTGCATTAAAACATATTACATTATATTTTGAAATGTTTTTTTTTTCAAACAAAGGGTTATATTAAAATATGAAATTAAAGTGTAATCAACTCTTAAATACTTAAATGTATCTCACAAGTGTATTCCCCAGAGATTTTTTTCAAATTCATATCCAGTTTAAAGCAAATTCGTCTTCCAAAAGAAATTCCATGTTTGCTTCGGGAGCATGATATTTCAGCGGAAAGCGCACCGGAATCATAGAGAAATCGCAGCTTGAAATATTTCGACTGTACCCATTCAGTAATTACATCAAACGCTTTAGTGAATTTATATAATAATATTCGTTTTGTTTGCGCAGCATTAGGGCCCAGGCGGGGCACCAAATTGATAACACAACTTTACACTCCGCTGTGCCGTCAATACCCATTACGGAGAGAAATATTAACTCAAATATACGGCGCGCCCCTGGCCCCCGGGTGGCAGGAGGGGTGGTAGGGGCATATAGGGGTGGTAGTGGGGGTGGTGACGAGGGTAGGAAGTGGGCTGCGGCGGAGTTTGGTGTGGGGGACATGAAGAATGAACGTATCACGGGCAATGGTTACGGTGAAAGTGATGATAGTAATGACGGCTATAATGGTGGGGTGATACTACAGCTGATGTTCGATTGGTATTGTTGGCTGTGTTATTGGAGTTGGATGAGTAGTAGATGGTGGTGGTAGTAGTTTTGATTCTGGTTGTAACTGCTTTTATGGTTGCACTGCGACGGTGATTGGATAATATCGGAAAAAACGTTGAGTAGTTAGCTTGTAACACCGTTGACTGAAGATGTGATAGGTTTTACAATGATTTCAACAACTACTTCAATTCAAATGTAGTGAAACGAGATTTCGAAATGAAAATGGTAATAAGACGTAAAGAGAAAAGGGTACAAGAAGAAAGGACGTAAGTAAATACCCGAAGGTTTCAGACAAAAGTAAAGGTTGGTTTGTAACAAATAAACATTAGAATAAGCAGTCTGAATGAATGAAAATGTATATCAATATGGAAAATGAGTAATATGTGTGGATTTTTTTCATCTTACTTTCGATCCAATGGTAACGACAGCTATATAATCTGTCATTTACAGAGAAAAAGTTAAACTTCTGCAAATTTTGAAATTTCAGAGATCTTAAAGAATATCGGACATCCAACAAGTTTATAAGAGCTCTCTGATCTATTTTGACAGTTCGGTAAATTTAATTATTAATCTTTTGATATTCTTAGTTAAATTACTGTCAACGAATTGTCTTCAGTTGGAGATAAATATTATATTCTGTCTCATCTAATCTAAAAGTTAACAAGTAGAAAAAAAGTTACTAAGTAGACAAAGTTTGAGAAAATTTTTAAAAATATTCTAGAGGGGCATCATTGAGATATCCTCAAAAGTTAAAACATTGGCTTCAGTTCTGCAGGTCCTCTACTCGGACCAGAATAGTTGCAGAATCCGGAAAAAATTCTGGGTACGGTGTAGGCACAACTGTTGTTGCAAAACGTACGGAAGGACAATTTTGTAAAGCAAAACATTTTGGGTGTCAGAGACCCCAAACTTGTATTTCTGTCAAAATCTCGACATCACGTATTAAAGAATTACATAACTTTATACTACTTGTATACCCGAATAGGGAAAGTAAATGTAAATTAACCGTAGTAACATAAGCAGCGAGAGTAGCATGGTGAGTGTGTGAAGGATTGTGATAAAATGGCGGTTGCAGTGAGGAATTTCAGTTAAAGCTCACAAGTGCGAAGAGAGACCGCAGAAAGCATTTGTGAAAAGAGGGGAGGACATAGGGAAGAGAAGGGACTGGAACTGTTTGCCAGTTCATAAATTCCAGAATATTGTATAAATTGAGCTCATGCGTTCACCACACGGCGGCTGTTCTAGAAGAGTCACGAAGCAATAAATATTCACTCCAACTCCCTATAACTAGAGCAACATATCAGAACACGCAAATGGATACTTTATCACTTTGCGTAACCCAGAGCAGTGTAGAAACAAATGAATTATATTATTTCACCATAAACTCGGGGTATTGGTGTGACATATAGCACTAACGTGAATATATTACTTCTGAGAGGAAGTAGATATGGATTTAGTACCTCATGAATTCGTTTTAATGATAGGAATTTACTATAAATAACAAATCCTCACATTTGTCTTAAATTTAAACATTGATTTTTAAATTAATTAACTTTACACTGGTTATCAAATTAGAGTATACTTCCGAACGCATTAAATTATTAACATAACCATCTAATTATTAACACAACCATCTTTCAAAAACAACAAAATGTATTCATAATTTTATCTGAATGTGATATTTAACCGCCCTTTAAATGATCATATCTTTGGGATGTGTAATTGTTCTAAAGTACACTGCGAACGCATCAAGACAAGAGTGACACTATAAAATAGCACAAATTACGCCTTAATGTGTGGAAAGGGTATTATAAAAGTATAATACACTTTAATTCTTGAGCAACAACTTATCACATAACAATGCTTCAAGCACTTCAGACAATGTGTTTAATATCTAATGTATGCTAACTCCCCATTTATCAATAAAATAAATTATTGTCGTACAAATTTCCACTAATTCACATTTGTTAGTTCTAAAGTTTCACATCTCAATAGCGTTCGATGAAATACATTGCCGTCGAATCTTAAAAAAAACTCCCTCAAACACGTTATTCCCATCCCAACTTCTTAGTTTGAAATTCAGAACCGGAAAGAAGGATCATTGTACACATGTAATCAGGTACACTACGAATCGCCTCACTCACAAAGGTCATTTGTGTTGCGCCGGAGACAAGGAATATCTCTGCTTGACGAGATTGGCGTAGGGAAACACGAAAACATCGTTTTCTGGTACTAATGATTCTACGAGGAGTTACTTCTACGAGGCTACCGTTAGCAACATCTGAACGGCAGAGCTTTCGAAATGAGCCTTCGAGGAGGAAGATGCGTTTGATAAGAGGTATTATATACGCACGGAAATCTTCTGGCCAGTGGGTCAGTTGCTGCTGGACCCATCACCGTCACCATGAAAATACTTCTAACTATCCTCTTGCTGGCAGTAGCAGCCGCGGTGAGTGAATATTGTATTGTAATTGTAAATGTATGAATATATAATGCACATCATTCGAAAGAAAAATCTAGTTCATAAAATGTGCGTATATTTCATTTGCACAATCCGAGTGGAACTTTGAGTAATAACGCAATAGTAAATTGCATTTTTTCATAAATGAAGGAATAAAATGAAAAAATAGTTAATTTTGATACAAGAGAATGAAATGGATAGACGAGTATGTAAATTTAATTGTCTATCTTCCGTTTTTCAGGAAATTAAAATCAAGTTCATGCTCAGTTTCAGATTGTGGAAGAAGTGTTAAAACGAATTTAATTTAGAATTATATTAAGATCTTTATATAATATTTAGGAGTTATATTTTAATTCTGAGAATTCTGAGAATTTTTAAAAAGAAAACAAACATTTTTATGAGCAATTGCTATATTCCAACATCAGAATTTTAAAAGTGGTAATCATCAACAGTTAAACTTCCATAAAACTTGAAGATTCAATTGAAATAGAAGAAACTAAAAAATGTGCCCTGATTGCTGGTTTCGTAAGAGATGACACTATGCTGGAAATAGAATTGAAACGTATTGCATAAAAGACTAGATATTCTGACAATTTGTCCCTTCTAGGGCTGTTAAATAATTCACATTAAAATAAGTAAGCCCAAAACTAGTCAAGAGAATATGTTCCCTACTTATAACTGTTTCAGTGTTGAAAAAATGAGTTAAAAAATAAAAATTCAGGAAACGTGTTGTTATGATACAACCAGTTTTTTTGGTCTTCAACAGATTTTTTTGCTTCAGCGAGTTATACTTAAACAGCTGTTTGCGTTATTGTTTTATTAAAACAAAATTTTATTTTAAAATATATAGTTTCGTTAAAATGTGTTTTAAATACATTTTCAAGTTAAAACTATCATACCCATGTGAGAACTTTCGCATGTTAAACCCCACCCTAAAGTTTCCTAGGGAATCGTGAGACAAACATGGAAACATGTGGTCCATTTCCGTCGTAGTTCCATTCACAATTAGGTATACAGCACATCCAGACCTCAGAAAAACTTTAAATGAATGGTTGCACTACACGCATAAGAAACCATCCTCATCGGTAGTACTTCAAGTTGTTGCTGCGAGAGCGAATATTGAATTAATAATTATGCAAATAAACCTCTTTCGCCTGTACAAATCACGGTGTACACAGAAAGCGTAAATATACCATGTTTTTAAAAGAAGAGGGTTAAAATAAGGATTTAACAAATAATTTTCCTTTTTAATTCATCGTTTCGGCTTAATATTTTTAATACTAATCGTTTTTCGGTGGTGTCCATTTTCGTCAAATATTATTATTACTACATTTTTTTAAGTTGAGTAAAAATTATAAAAGCAATTTTTTACAGCAAGGGAAGCAACTTTTGTAGTTAGAAAAATTGATGTAACAATAGCAATAAGCAGGCAAGTAAATTTTTTTTAATGTAAAACATGGAAAATGTCAACTGAATGGTAACCAAATGTATAGAAGTGATCGATTTTTAAATGCTTCATAACAATATCGAGTAAATTGCAAAGTTTATAAATCACTTGAACGGATAACACACACGACAATAAAAAAATATAAAATTTATGTTGTATTGGTTACAACTTCCAGCAATGAGTACCAAATTCGCAAATAAATTTTATAAGAAAATAATATTTTCTTTGGAATTTCATGCACTCTCGAGTTACAGTGAGTTATTAATACAATACTGATAACAGCAATGCGTTTGCGCGCTATCAAACAACTACTGCTTTTCCTTCTTCTGTTAACCGATCTAAATGTTTAACTTCATGAGTTCAATGCATTCAGAAAGAGCCACTATGCCTGCGAAGTACGTTGAGGTCTCATCTGCTGCTCCTGCCTATAAGTCACCATTTTTCCCCAACTCGTTTCCTTCCAACAAGATGTGTTTGATCACTAATGGGGTATGTGAGTTTGGTATTGTGATTAAGAAAAATTCCAATATTAATTTGAATATATTTACTTCTAAAAACCAAAGAATAAAATAATAAGAGGGATTTCGGTAATATAAAATAAAAAAAAGCACATTCTCTTTGAATTTGAAGTGTAATGTCTGATTTCAGCAACAAGAGTCGCGGTTCAACTTGAAAACTCATTTACAATTGATGTTTGACCGACCTGCTGAACCGCTCTTCGTTTTGAAAGGACAAAGAAGGGATTTTCAATTTGATATTCCGGAGGAATTCGTGGTAAGTATTTTCTTCGAGGTACTTCATTTGTTTGTTAAAATATAACTTTTTAAATTCTAACATTATAAATAATGGTTTATTTTTTAAATCTAGTAATTTTGTAAATCGGATAATGCTATTGCCGTTTTTATATAACATTTATTTTTTCCTGCTACATAATGCAACTTCACCTTCAGCTTTCGTAGTTGTTTCTGAGATTCAACGCTGAGGTCTCGCTTACTGAACAAGAGGGAAAGAACTTTTCCATTTTTTTGTCACCGATTGATGGCAGATTTCCATATATTTGCTCGTTTAACTGAGATTTTGCATTTCAGAACACGCGCTTTAAGAAGACTCAGAGAAAGATACAAAAGCAAGCGGGGGCTAATATTTTAAAAATAAAAAAATTGGATGTTTTGCCCGACATTTCATTCCCCAAGCAATTGGGACGAAGAGAACAATTTTCTCATTTTGTTCCCAAACATCGACAAATGACCAAGCAACTGGTGCAGATGTTAATGAATTGTAAGTAACACAGCATACTGTTATTCATTTAACGAGTCAATTTAAAGTCTAATATGAACTACTAGAGAGAACAATGACTACTCTCGATTGCAAACATAAATCCCTGCACGTGATTTTTCCAACAGGTTTTAAAAAATATTTTTAGTCCGTACACTTTTCAACAATTATAATATTTTTTCTGTGCCGAAAACGTGGTATATCGTGGGTCCAGTTGAGTCTGGTAAAAGTAGTTCATATTGGGGTCCCAATTTATCTAGTGTTAAGTAAAAGTAATTTTACCTAGTATATTCCGCCTGAAATCCGTCCTGTTTTTATCCAGCTTTCCCAGCCACTCCCCGCCAAGCCTCATCCCCGCCTCGCCACGCTCAGCCGCTTCCCTCCCCGACACGCCATTTTCCCGTCTCATTATACTGTAGATGATTCGCATCATCGACTATATACATTATACGGACGTTGTGTTTTTTTTCCTCAGCTAGTGACGTCGAAAGCTTCCTGTCTACCAGCGCGTATTGTCGTGACCAAATCAATCCCTTCATGTACTCTTACGCTCTGGCAGTGGCCATACAACATCGTCGTGACACAATGGGCCTCACCCTTCCCCACGTGCCCTCTTTCTTCCCAGAGAGGTTCTTCGACGGCAGCGTTTTCTCCAAAGTACGAAACGAAGTCTTCCACGCGGCCGCAGAGGACAGGGTAAGATATTTGATTATTTCCAGAGAGTAAACAAAGAGGCCGATTGCATTGGCGCAGACCCGTCCAAGAGTCGCGCCAGCTTAGCTGGCTGGCAGCTCGTGGAACTCGGACTTCCGTATTTTTTAAGTGGCTGATGACATTAAGTCATATTTACACTCCCTGCCTTATCATATGAATATTTTTGATTAATTGGCAAACGTTCTTATCAACGCGGCTAGTGGCCACAGAAATATGTTTACCACTTTTAAAAGATTCGTTCTATAAGGCAGGAGGAGGAGTAACAATGTCCAAATACGTCATCGGCCACTTCAAAAAAAATCGAAGTATAGTGGCTTCACCCACAAACGCCGGGCCATGGACACGTGTCTTCGGCGAACGCAATGGGGGATACGTCAGAGGAAAAATTTCCACATTGAAAGGCGCAAGGCGCGAACTCTGATAGGAATATTCGTGAGTTTCCTTTCAATGTTAACAAACAAAGCCAGATCTATTAATTAATTAAAAATTAAAAAATGCGTATTTAGAGACTTAAGGTCTACCTCGACGTGATGTTTAGGATGCATGAGTAGGGTCTTCTTTGGGAAGAGTTCCCCGGAAAAAGGAAGTGAGCATGAGAATTCCCGGTATATCGCTCTTGCGCAGATAGATGGTAGCCGGAAAGAGGTAAGGAAAAGCAGGAAAGTAGTCTCGCACGAAAAGAAAAAGGGACCGGGAAATCTAGAATAACAGCAAATAATAGAGTAGCATTTATGGGAAACCTAGCGAGTGCAGTCTATTTCTTCCTCTGCTTTCCCTGCCGGCGCCTTTATGAAAACTTCTTACGACGGCGTCGCCATTTATTCAGCTGCCCTTCTCGCGTACGGTTCGAAGAGAAACTACGTTGAGGACTCAGAAAACAACAAAACTGCTGCCCAAAAACATAGCATTTCCCACCAAAATAGCACGAGGAACATTTGTTATCTAATTAAGGGGACGACGGTAATTATTTTTTTGTTCCTTTTTGAATTGACTCAAACTGTAAAGTCATACACTTACGTGGTTGAGTCTTCCAAGTGTTCTTGATGGTCGGGTGACGCCTTGTCAAAGCTTGTGATTCCGTTTCGACCATCTTGTCATGGTCATCCTCAGATCGCCGGGTTGGTCGGCGATCGGGTAAACGCTCATATTCTACATTCATCTTTAGAATAAAATATGTGTTTTCCTTTACATCCGATGTGTAGAAATATGTCGCCGTGCATTGCCACAGGATGTCATTGCAATACCCCGAGACTTCACCGCCTCCGACCTGGAGCCGGAGCACCGCGTGGCGTACTTCCGGGAGGACATCGGCGTCAACCTCCACCACTGGAACTGGCACGTGTACTACCCTGGCGTGGGGGGGCCCGAGGTGGTGGCTAAGGACCGACGAGGGGAGCTCTTTTACTACATGCACTCGCAACTTCTGGCCAGGTACGTTCTATATCGATTGATTACACAGACACACACGCACACACACAAAAGTTGTCAAACTTGAAGACTTAACCCATATTTCTAGACGTAGGTCGACACGCTGAAAACGAAACTGAAGCCGGAATTGTGCCATCCCTCTCCAGTTGTTTTTTAATCGTGAAAAACGCATGCAAGTACTTGATTTTGGTGTCTTGCAGCATTATATTCCACAGAAGCCAAGCGTTGCCAGACCCAAGACTTAACACATGTTTTCCTCTGTATGTCGACGCGCTAAACCGAAATGATAATTTCAGCAATATCTTCCAGTTATTTTAATCGCAAAAAACGCGAAATTTACAATTTCAATATTTTTTGTGATTTAAAAAAATTGGAGGATACTGTCGCAATTTGCCCGACCGAAACTTCGGCCATCTTTCGGCCGAAATTTGTGACCGCCAGCTTTGTGGCTTCCTGATATATGTGGTAGTATACTACATGCAAGTGTGTGTGTGTATGTATATGTCAGGGGATAGATGGGGACAAGAATGAGGAAGGAAAAAGATCGCGCACTGTCCGTGGACAGTTTGTTAGGGCACTGTCTCGGCGTTCGTCAGTTATCAGAGAAACCATGCAAAACTACCCATCATAGCAGACAGTCGGTAGAATTTTTCTCCAATTCGACTGAGCTTGTGAAAATTCGTCACCGCGGGAAATCGAACCCTTAGACCTCCGGGTTAAAGGCGCTCTAAATTGTTGTTACCCTCAAGCACGTTGGTCGCGCACAACCTATACGTCTGGCTTCTTTGACTCAGTGGCAACATTTTAACTTGCTGTGACCACTGTCTGGATATTTCCTTTCTCATCCTTTCCCCCTTCATGTGGGAAGACCGGGGGGATCTTGAACAAGTCCGGCTTGAAGCTGAGTGTTGCTGGAGACATATCTGGGGGAGGAAACAGCTGTCCTGTATATAGGTGCCAGAGCTCGTGTTCCAGCGGGGGTAAGAACTTCGCCAGGTGCACGATTTAGCACGAACTACACTTACAGGACTAATGGCGTCAGTAGTTGGTGCGCACGGAAATCAAACTCTCAACCTCTTGCCAGGCAATTCACATTCTATATTCGTTTCCAAATTCGTTCTGTTTTTCATAACTCAGTTTGTTTTTGTAGTTTTTAACAAAAAATCAACGAAAATAATAGCCCCCGTATTTTAGACCCGCAATTTAAAGATCGATGATAATGATGATGCCACTTAAAAAAAAATAACTTAAGAACATACTTTTTACACATTTCAGGTTCATTTTCATTTTTTTTCACTTGCAGATACAACTTCGATCGGTTATCCAACAACCTGGCGCGAGTGCAACGGCTGCTGAACTGGCGAAAGCCGATTGAAGAAGGTTACTTCCCAAAGCTCAACGCCATAATCGCCACTCGTGTGTGGCAACCCCGGCCTGCAAACTCTGTTCTGAAGTTGAGTGTTACATTTCACACTTCAATAAACCACTCGATATTATTTGCAAAATACCAAACAATTTCCTACGTAAATCGGATCCGATTTTTAAATCAGTTTTGGGACACACTTCCTTCAAAGTTCAAGTATTTGTTCTATGATCTTTGTTAGTTTAGATAACGGCCCAAATGTAGAAACAATTTCAAAAATACCTAGGCTGCTTCTTCACATACAAATTTAATTGTCACATTATAAATTTACTTGGAGTCTTCATTATCAATACCCGTCAGATTGTTGTTGAACAAGTGCGCCGACTGAAACACCACAGTGCAACTGCTGTCTCTGAGCGGGAAGGTTCTAGGTTCGAAACCCGATGGTGGCTACATAGCTGTGTCGAGTTCAGCTGTTGCATTAAGGGCAATTTTAGCGACTAGTTGCTTTAATCAGAAGTTTTCCGTGATTACTATAAACAGTAATAGGCGAAGGTCGGAGCAGTACCTTAACAAATGAGCCCCGGACCACGCGCGAATACTCTGCCAAAAGTCAACCTCTGTGAACAATATTCGAACTGTTTGGCCAGGACAAAGCGAAATCTCATTAGGTCGGGCAGAGATATATAATTTTGCTTAACATCTGATAGAGCTTGTTTAGATGCTTCAAGAATAATATTTAGGACGGCTGGGCACATTTTGCAATAAATTTAACATGAGAGAAGCTTGAAACATCACTTCAAATTTCAACAATGGTCTCTAATGCACTACAGGACATTTCTCGGGACGACATGCAGCTGGATTTTGATATTTTGGATCTGGAACGTTGGAGGGACAGAATCTATGCAGCTATCAGCAGTGGAAAAGTTCTTGCAGTAAGTTACATTTATATTTTATTTTCTTAATTGTGCATACCCAACTATTGTATTGTTCCATATCACCATTAGGATGTTAATCACTACATTTCTGTACTTTTAATTTATTTCTAGAAGATCCTGTATTAAAGAAGTAATCCATAACTAAAGTGTTCAATGAATTGTGTTATTAAGACTGCTGAAAAAGCCTCAAACCTGTCAAGAAAGTTATGAAATAATTTGAGATTTCTGTAAACTTTCCTCGAACATCTACTAAATTATATTTTTTAGGAAAACAACACTTACGTTCCCCTTGATGACTACACTGGCATTGACATATTGGGAAATATGATCGAGAGAAGTGATATTTCCATCAACAGTAATCTTTATGGAGATCTTCATGGTTTAGGTCATGTTGCCATTGCTTTGGTTCATGACCCCGATCACAAGCACTTGGTAAGTCAATCCTGAACCGTCTTTACAAAATATCTGTCACTAAGTGAGCACATGACAAGAAAATTTTACGATTCTAATGTCAAAAGTGAACTTAGCGTAGGAAGCCTACTCTGTGTTTATTACAGAATCATTACTAAATTAATATTGTGAAGCCTAAGGAATGAGAAAAGTTGAAATAAAAAATCACGCCATGTCTGTTATGGTCAGCGACCCAAACCCCATTCTGAGCCTCGTTCTTCTCTTCATTCCAAGTTCTGAAAAGCAAATGCCGTCCTTCACCGTCGTTTGCTAGTTCTGTATATTTTTTCCAGAAAATTGAATTTTCTCTCTAGTTTACCTTATGTCTTGTTATACATCGTATGTAAATTAATTACGTAAATCTATCCTAATTTTTGAATGTTTTCTAATGTTCTTTTCAATCAGTTTACTAAATTTTTCACACATACATAGGGTTTTGATGCTATGTTCACTTGTTTCGTGCTAAATTATAATTTTCTTGCATTGACTCCTAAAAACTTACATTTGTTGCAAGTCGTTCCAAAATATGCCTTATTTATTTATTTATACCGGTTTGATTAGATTTCGCTAGTTTATCAACTTCCGCGTAATAAATAAATGTCCCCACGCTTTCGCATCGTCACTTGTTTATATTAATGCCGTGTTTTCATTGCGCAATACATTTAAAATTGCAACTTTTTCGGCGAGTTCCTCTAGACTGTCGCATTAAGGACAACGCAAGCGTCTAAATCATTCAGACGATTTTCTCCAAAAGTAATTTGCCCCGATCGTTCTGAACGGACTCAAGGCTCTGCGCGTTTGAAATGGATATTTTAATTTTTGGGGCCACAATTTTCAAAATGTTATCCAAAATGGCTCCAAATGTATTGATTAAACATTGATACAGATATCAGTTTCGGTGGACCCTGTCTTTTCGAAAATTAAAGAAGTTATAAATGATGCGAGGAAGTATGTATTGTTATTGCATCACTAGTTTTAGTATATTAGATTACGAAAATAATGCAGCGTTATATCAATAGATAGTTCAATTGATTAATTTGTTTTGAAATTAATTCAGACCACCCAAAATGTTCCATTATACTCAAATTTCTTTTCCCGAACACGTAAAATTATAACTTGCATAACGTAAATTCACCAATCAAGTTATCGAAACAAACATTATTTTCATAAAATTATTGCAATTTGTTTATGACAAATTTTATTTTGCAGGAACAAGCAGGTGTCATGGGCGCTGTGGAGACAGCCATGAGAGATCCCGTCTTCTACCGATGGCACTCGTTTATCAACGATATGTTCGTGGCTCATAAGCAAACTCTGCAACCTTACACTGAACAAGAGGTGAGAATGACACAAACGTCACGTATGAAGTACTAACCGCGTGATATTAAATCTACGAAGTGCTTTGTTTGTCAATATTGAACGATGGCTACAATAGGTCCTGCATTTTCTCGAATTTTGAGTAAGAGTTGTAAGCAAATGCCGAATCAAAAATGTTTTCAATCATTCAATATTATTGGTAATAAATTCAAGAAGAGCGCCTGAAATCATGAACTATTTTGTAACGAAATTTTGTGTTGTCATAAACATTATTATATTCAATTATAGTGCTACGTATAATTAGAAGAAATATTACAGACATTTAAAGCATGGGCGGGGAAGGGGGAGGCAAAGATAATTCCTTTTTGCCAATGAACGCGTGATGAAAAAACTTATATCACGTAGTTACTATTATGTATTTTGATTATGATTCCCTGATGGTAGGCATTCACATATTCATACACTCACTCACACACACATACATACACACATACATACACACACTCATACACACACACTCATACACACACACTCATACACACACACTCATACACACACACTCATACACACATACACCCAGTCTGTGCTCTGTTTGATACTGAAAGCGCATCACAGGGTGTAACTGAGCCAGACGCTTAGTTGCCCGTGCGTAGTTGGGCTTCAGGAACGTGCAAGTCGTGAGGGCTGACGTGGAGACGCAGTACCTGGACGTCCTCAACGAGTTTTCCACCTTCTGGAAGGAAGACGACTTCAACGTCGACAGAGGGCTGGACTTCATGGGCAACGGAACCGTGCGAGTGCGTATTACGCACTTGACGCACACGCCCTTCCGGTACCTCATTCAGGTGAGTTCACACCTGCTGCTTCTAGCTCGGGACAAGCATTTTCGAACTAGATTTTTACAGTAGGTCACGGTAGTGCAAGTATTTGCGTCAGCGGGAATGTTTTTTCCTTTCCCGAGCACACACATGCATTAAGCTCAACTGTTATCTCAACTATCCATTTTTTAGAATTCAAGAGATAATCGCTTTTCATTTATTTATGGATAATGTGGAAAAATGTAAACAATATCTTGGAACTTACACGACCTATGGTGAAATTAACAATTAATGATAGTACTATTTCTTTCGTTTAAAGGTGAACAATGCCGGTCCTCCTAGGATCGGAACCGTGAGAATTTTCATGGCACCTCACTTTGATGAACGTGGAATCCAACTGACACTCCGAGATCAGCGGCAACACTTCATTGAAATGGACAAGTTTCAAGTGCGATGTGAGTATTATGCGGTGTAAAATTTATTTAACAAAATGTGATTTAGGACAGCGGTAATACAACTTTTTGCCTCTTTAGTTGGGTTTTAAAGTGTATATTGAAACAAAAGAACGTAATTTGAAAGTGTAAAAATGCAAATATCCAAATTTGTTTTTTGAAACACACTCTACCAAAACACTTGTTTACGTAAGACAAAAACTAGAATAATAATGAATTAATATTTAGCATAATAAATAAATTCTTAATTATTTTTATGCTAAATGAGATGGCGACATATATAATCGTATATGTAATACCTCATAATATTATTTCATACGTTACTTATTTTATCAATAATAAAAATAATAATTTAAGAAACAGACGTAGCAAAACAGTTTTATTTTGTTTACTTTTTTAGATATTGACACAAAATATTTCTTGAAAATTGAAATAAATCCACACATTAATTAACCTTCAAACCACTGGGTAGGTTTTGAAAAAAAATCAGTTATCTACGTAAAACTTTCTCGCCTATGTTTATGTTAATTTTGTCCTTGAAAAATTAATTGTTTGCGCCGAAATAGCTGTCTCTACCCCCTTAACACTATGAAATCAGGATATTTTTGGGGTTGTCTTCCTACTAGGGGTTCGAATTTATTGAGACGTCATTTTTTAAAATTTATTTCCAGAGACCAGCATAATTGCTTTTCAGAGATTGGTTGCATATAAATAACAACTCAACTCACATGTGACCGAAGCGATGTTTATCTTTTTCTTTCAAGGCCATTCATTATGAGTGTAAATGATACGGATTTCCTCAGCATTGTTTTCAGATAATGTTTAAACCTGAACATATTTTCAAATACACAATCGCACACTAGAACGCTAATGAATGTAATTCGTTGGTGACATGAGTAAGAAATTTTTGAGTGTTTTTGTTAACAATGGAACCAAAACTAGCTTGCATTTTCACATCTCGAGCAGAAATAAGTAAGTACTCATTTCAAAACTGTTAGAAACTTTGAACGCATAGATGACGTTTAAAAACAACACATGGTTCTCAGAGACGAACAGAGTGTGTGTATGGCTCTGAAGTGTTAATTTCTTGTGTAATCTGGTTGTTGGGTGCAGTGCAAACAGGTCCGAACCAGATCGAGCGGCTGAGCCGGCTGAGCTCGGTGACGATCCCGCGAGAGAACACGTTCCGCGACCCGGCTCAGGAGCTCAACACCGACGCGGGCGAGATGTGCACGTGCGGCTGGCCGCAGCACATGCTGGTGCCCAGGGGCAAGGTCAAGGGCCTGCCCGCAGACCTCTTCGTCATGGTGTCCGACGGCGCCGGCGACCAGGTAAAACTAGTCGTGCTGTTGCGAATTACAAATTAAGAAAGTAAATTAGTTTTAAGGGAGAGATGAGGGTGCGAAAAAATATTGCATGGACCGCGGCGGTGAAGTGACTTCGTCAACTTCTGTGGATAGCGAGCCGGGGCGGCGCGACGCGAAGCGGGGCGGAGCTTCGCTCGATTGAAAAAGTATCCCTTCACGCCTTTGATATATAAAGTACTATATTTCACCATTCATCCATGAAAACTAGAACTTACCTTCAGTGTTTATTGCGCGGAAAATGTTTCGTTGCGCAAAATTTGAAATTGCTGTATCCCTACTGCAAGTCATAGGCTACGAAAACAACTGAGTACTGCAAAATAAACAAAACACTGGTCCGGCATGAATCAATATAGCTACCATCTCGCGCTTTATCGTAAAATTTCCACTTGTTTTGCATACTTTTTCGTAGAATACTTCATACTTTATTGGCATTATTTATATCAATTTATATTTTTTGCCTCTATTCTGCTTTTGGGGGCAGGATATACATTTCTTCTTTTTGTATGACCTCTGTAGAACCACTGTCTTGGGCTATTATTGCTTCATATCAGAATCTTATCCTCCTCTATCTTTCTACCCTGTTCTTCTTACGAGAATCTTTTTGATATATTTCTTCTCTATCATTTTCCCCCACAATTCTGTTTCATTTATCTCATGTTATTGGTTGGGGACCAATTATTTTACCAGTTCTCCATCTCTTCCATCTTGAATCCCAACTCAGACTAGTTCTTCGTAAGAATCATCAATGCATTTGATACTAGCATTTCTTCTCATCCTACTCGTTTCCCATGAGGATTTGAACATTCTGTCGATACCCAAAGCAGGTCATGAAGACACCCTAGCCAGGAGCGTACAATGCATTAGCCACCTGGAGTAAATCATCTAGCTATCACGAATGCCAAAACTTGCTTACAGTTTCATTTATTCGATCTATGGAAGAGATAAAATTCTTGTACACTTTTGGAACATTGGGCTCTAACAGGCAGTTTCCGAAGTGTGAGTTTCATGAAATTACCATTCTTTCATGGGATTCATTCCTATCTTTCACCACCTTTCGTGTTTGACAGGTACGCGACCCGCAGGGGCCGCCCAACACGTGCACGGACGCGCACAGTCTGTGCGGCATCCGCAACCGCATGTACCCGGACCGCCGCCCCATGGGGTACCCGTTCGACCGCCTGCCGCGCGCCGGCGTCACCACGCTGCCCGAGTTCCTGCTGCCCAACATGATGGTCACGCCGGTCGTCATACGCCACACGGACGGCTTCGCGCCGGCCTCGCCCCCCACCCCCACGCGCTTCCTACCCCTTCAAGCTTGAATTAACACACACGTGGCACTGGTATATTTGGATGCAGCCGCGACTCTCCCACACCAGGGATTTTTTTGTAAATTTACTGTGTTAAATAAAAACAATTACTACGTATTGATCGTATTACATTCTACATATATTCCTATTATGAATATTAATTTTTTTATTACGTGCTTTCAAAGTTTAAAAAAATACCTCTGAAATATTTAGGCATGCTGCCCAACAAGATGGTCACCCCGATCGTCATCAGTCTTCGCGCTGGCTGCGCCCCCCACCCCGACGCGCTTCCTACCCCTTCAACCTTGATTAAGCACACACGTGGCACTGGTATATTTGGACGCACCCCCGACTCTGCCACATCAGGGATTTTTTTGTAAATTTACTGTGTTAAATAAAAACAATTACTACGTATTGATCGAATTACATTCTACATACATTCCTATTATGAATATTCATTTTTTTATTACGTGCTTTCAAAGTTTAAAAAAATACCTCTGAAATATTTAGGCATGCTGCCCAACAAGATGGTCACCCCGATCGTCATCAGTCTTCGCGCTGGCTCCGCCCCCCACCCCGACGCGCTTCCTACCCCTTCAACTCCAAATAAATACACACATGGCAGGAGCATATCAGGGGACAGCCATGATCCCTCTCCCAAATCATTTTTGTCCGTAATTTTACTACGTTATCAAAACAATTACCACATATTTATCGTACTACACTCCACATATATTTCCATTATGATTTTTTTCATGCTTTCAAAGTTCAAAACAATACAACATAAATATTTAGAGGGCTCCGCGCGGAAATTTGGCCGCTCCTGGAATACCTACTGTGCCCCAAAGCGTGTGTACTCATGATCTAATAATGAGATGAATTTCATAAGTTATCACATATAATACACTTGTGTTATAATTAAGTTTAAATTAAATTTCTTGAAAAAAAACATTATTTCAATTATACTTACATTTAAAAGAAATATATTTATGTCTTGCATTTGCATATCCGGTGATATTCCATGATCTTGTGATACTCCTATTCACTCTTCAAACACATTAGTTCAGTGATGACTATCATTTGACGTATTAAACTAATAGATAACCCAAAATTAGGTGATTCATGACTGAGAAAATCGAAATACACAGATCCTTAGTTACATTCTGATATGATTGAAAGTGCAGGCAAATAAAGTAGTTGCTACAACATAGCATAGGCAATTTTAATCGATCATAGAGAAACAATTTCAGGAATATAATCTTTAAATTTTCTAACACTGCAATTAAGTTCATGTGCCGGTGTGAATATGAGTTCATTGTTTACTTTTCTAAACGTTAGTTGTAATTTATTTTAAATTCTATAAAAATAGGGAAATGGATGTATTTTATGTGGTGGAAGTAGCGAGTGAAATATTAAGATGTAAGATTACATTTGTGTGTAAGTCTAAATGTTAGCTATTTTATTTAATGAAATGTTAATAATGATTTGTTTAATTATTTTACAAGAAAAGTGATTCATAATAAAATCTGTCTCGCATGTTTTTTTGTTGTTATGGTGATAAATTTTATGTGATGGCAAGAAGGCATTGTTAAATAAATAGTATCCAACATATGTTATATACTATATATTTCGATGTTTAGTTCACAATTCTGAGTGTAAGAGAGTTTTTGGTACCAATTATATTTTACGAAATTTGGTTGCTTAATAATAACTGAGATATCTAATACTTTTAATCGTTGATTACGGTCTATTTGAGAGGAAAATTGAATACTATTGTGATTTCATATTCCAAACTAGACATACAGACGAAATTATTCTTGTAAAAACACATTTCGAATACTTAAGCTCCTGTCCGTACATAAAGAGATATCAGCCAGTATATTACGACCCTAAAAATATTTAAGGTTGATCAGACAACAGAATAGTCGTTAAACGACACTAAAAGAAAAATATATCCTGTAATTGAGAGAAACGCGCTCCTCTGTCAAGAGAGCAAGTTATTAGCTACGATAGTTGAAGAGAAATCAGACGGAAGTTGGATTCCAGGAGAGAACTGAAGGTAAGAAATCTAAATTCTGAGCGTGAAGTTGTTCAAATTTCTGTATTAGGACCACCGCCCTTCTTAATCTATATAAATGAGGTAGGATATGCACTTATAATTAGCAGCTATTAAATGTACGCGGATGATCTTCAGATATACCTTAGCGGACACCGGACTCAACTCTTCTTACTCACACAAAAAGTTAAAGAAAATTCGACAATCGTAAACCACTGGTCAGCATCCAAAAGTTTAAAAAATTCAAATAAAGCAGTGTATGCTAATGATATTGAAAATCACTAAAAATTCTCATTTTTGGGATTGCACAAAATTTGTATCAATGACACTACTCTGCCAATGTCCCGAAGACAAGAACATAGGAGTGTTAAGGGACAGCACTCTTAGCGAGAACGCATAAGTATATTCAATCAGCCGTAACGTCTTGGAATTTGCTGAAATTCATAAGTAGATTCAATATGCAAAATCTTCTATCAATTAGCACGTAACACTGAGATTAAATCCTTTTAGATCTATATTTCGGCTACATAGCCTTTTTTTCTAACATGACATTTAAGCTACAACATTAAATTCAAATGGCACAGACCGCATCACACAGTTTATTTTCTAACTAAGAAAATATGACCCACTGTGGAAGCTTTTTGACAGATTAAATGTGCATGCTCCAGACAGAAAGACTAACATTTCACTTTCTGTATCTTCTTTACGCAATTTTAAGAGGTGTTCATGCATTATGACTTTTATGTTACTTTAATCATCTGAAATGAAATCGATCTCGTAATTAAGGTTTGTAACCAATGCTAGTACTGTTTGTAATCATAATATACAGATCGTGATTACTACACTCTAGTTAATATTGATAGTCTTAGAGCTAAATTTGGATCTATATCAATATGTTTATTACAATAACTATTGTAATCATATCTGATAGTTTATTGCGCATAAATACAGTTGATGTTTATTTTTGATTTGTATGTATCTTCTTGTTACCTCTTTCGACGTATAGAGAAATCACTACTCAAGTGCTTTCGCACTAGTTTCCACTTGTATCCATTAGGATAAAAATACGACAGTCCTTCTCCACGCCGGCTGAGACTGGCTGATCTCAAAGCGCGGTCACAAAGGGGTTTGCCATGGTTCCGCCACTCTGACCCCGAAGTGGCTTATTGGCGCGTACTTTTAGTGTGTACTTATCAACCCGCGCTAGTATAGCCAGTGGGTCCTTCATGCCGGCGAAAAGACCATAGCCGCGACTGGGATGATCTTTACTGTGTCTCGGAGACTGCGCAGAACGCCACCAAGTATTGAACTAAATTATAATCTATAGAAAGTAGCAAATTGTTAGTAGCAATAGTGAATTCTTTACTTTCCTTCGAGTATTGCCTTCCGACAATGAATCCAAGTCCGAAACATGGCTAATCTTAGGAGTTGAATGTTAATTCACACATTACCCAGGCGGTTAGGATAAAGCAGTGTAACGTGCGACGAATGAATCGTTTTGGGCCCCAACCTATTAATGTTCGCATCGGGGTCTGGCTAAATAAAAGTTATTGGCCGAGGTATGACGTTGTGTGTGTTCTCAAGAAGTATTGTTGTAAAACAATACGTTGCAAATAAAGCATAGAACAGAGTTACCAGAGTCACAGAGCGCAGAATTACAATATCTTCAAGTATCTCCCCCAGCAAACACCGCCTCAGTCGTGACAAGGTAGCGTAATGCATGTAAGTGTAAGTGTGTGGTATCTGTAAGGGGACTGGATTGGCTGAAAGAAAGAAGAAGAAAAAGAATAAGAAGAAGAAGAAGAAGAAGAAAAAGAAGAAAAATAATAATAATAATAATAATAATAAGAAGAAGAAGAAGAAGAAGAAGAAGAAGAAGAAGAAGAAGTAGAAGTAGAAGTAGAGCGCGCGCGGGCCCTGGCCCTTTTGTCAGAATACCGCACCGGCATTTGCCTGGTACTGATCGGAGAAGTCACGAAAAACTAACGATCAGAGTAGCCGATCATTAGAATTCTCTTCCAGGCAGTGGCTAAATTCGACCTAGCTATCTACATAGCCACCGTCGGAACTCGATCTCTAGGACAACCTAATCAGAGACGATGCAAAGTCAGCAGCAATGCTGACCTCTGAGCTAAACTCAGCTAATGAAAACTCTTTGCAATCACTCTACCTGTGAACCTTATTTCCGTATCTTTTGGTGTACTTTGGTGTACAGAAAATAAGAAATCTCGATCACACCTGTAGATCGTGTAATCAGAGAACTAATTTTCTCGTAAAAAATGAAAAATAAATTCATCCCAACTCTTTAGTGCGAAGTCTACCCCAACAACAAATTAGTAATGTGGTACGTTCATTACTGCACCATTACATTGTAAGATCATTATTATCAGATACTATATTCAGGATAATAATTGTAAAGTGTGAATAAAATAATGCAAATTGTGTATTTATTTACATCGTTTCTATACCCTGATGCCCAGATATTCTCTTCAGATGTCACAGACGGTTTCGCGTAGTCTACTGCGGTGGATTCAACGATCCACAATGCTACGAGAACTACTCTTTTCTCCCATTTTTAGTATTACAACCTTTGAGAGATTTACATGTAACAAATTGACCACAAATATAAAATTTAATATTTAATTTCATATTTTGAAAACAAAAATTAATCTTAATTTGAAATTCATGCTTAATTAATTTTATTGACACAGAAATTAAAAGTTGTTCCATATTTAGCCTAAGATTCTAAATGTTTAGGCTGACCTAATTTTCAATGCTTGTGTTGAATTGAAAGAAAATAAAATTAATAATAAAATGTCAAATTAAGCACATTCGCAGTACTTGAATATGATTATTAACAACTGGCTAATAAACACAAATCCTAATAGATTGAATAATCTATTTTTAAAATAAAAGGTAGCAATAAAATCAGATAACTGCAATTATTAATGAACATGAACTATAATTCTCAAAATAGGAAGATTAGAAGATTTTTTCAATTACTTGGAAATTGATTAAATAGGGGTAATTTGTCAAACACGTTTCAACGAATGACTTTTATACTGTAAAATAAAACACGAGGAGGAACATAGTAATCATTATCACCCAATGATATTCACAACACAAGAGCAATACAAAAGTTCTTCTATAAATAAATAAATATTCAATTGAAAATATTCATTTGCTGTATGCAATTATTCGAGGAAATTCTCAAACTAACTCCTGCATATCATTGATATTTGCATTAACATTCTCATTAATGCCCACGGAGTAATACATGACGACATAAAATTCTGACAAACGAGTCGTTAGTTCTATCTAAAGATCATTAATTCTGTATCTCAACTCCATACTCAGTTTCCTCTTGTTCTACAGCACATGTAATTTACATAACAGTTGATAATGGTATACCGGAAAATCCTCACATGGACCCAGACTGTCCTTCTCGACAAAGGTCTTCACGTAATTACACTTCGATAGAATAGAAATCTACTTCGGGCGACAGCAACCGATAATCTCTAAATGACCATTTCCTCGTCAGCTCGTTAGAAGATTAAACGAAACTCTTCCTGTTGCGCGCATTAGCAAGAACAGTTACCACGACCTCGTCAACGTTGTTTGGCATCGGCACTGCCATGATATGTGGGCATTACGGTGGTAATCGTACGTTATAAAGGAGGGAAGACAGCCTCCGACGGGCAGGGGGGCTTGGGGGAGGCAGATGGTGCGACCGCTGTCTCATTGAATCTCCGCCGACATGTTCGCTGGCCACATACTCTTGCTCTCAGGGGCTGCACTCCTCGTTTCAGCCGTAAGTACGATTCGTTGTCCGACATGCAGTACTTCGCTACTCGGAACAGACAATTTTTTTCTATCCTTCCACATCTAAATAAATTCTCCTAATGAGTTTTGTGGGATTTTAAGCTTATGAAACGCATTTTTGGGAGTAAATATTAAATACACCCTCAAACTCGATTAATATCTCATTCAATTTCTGACTACAAAACGAATAGACTGACTGATATAATAAATATTATTTTTAATCACTTTACTTCCACTTCGGTATTAAATAACTTATTACCACGTAATTCCCTCCAGCTTCGTAATGAGCAAAATTACCCGTCGAACAAGTGTTGTTTTCGAAACTAGAATGCGCTCTAGAAGCAGTACATTTTGATCTCTACGTTAAGGTCCAACCATTGCAATACAATCAACAATTTTGTATCAAATTGTTTGTAATTGATTGATTAATTAATTATATATGGTCACATCAGAAGGATTTCTGATTTAAGATGCCGTGATATTTTGCACCATGATGCAGATCTGGGTACAAGCATTGTATGGAAAGGTTTGACAGTCTAACATCCCAAAGGACAATCAAATTTTCACAAAACGAGTAAGAGAACTAAATGTAACAAAGGTATAACTTACTGAACAATCTGTTAGATGTGTTATTTTTTTTTGAAGGATTAATAAATAAATCTGATGTATAGGCAGTTAAAGTGGAATTGAAGGTAAGGCAATTAACGTTCCTAGAATGATGTGTCACTTAAAACTTCGTAGGGTTATATTTTACCTAATTTACTGAGAAATTTAAACACATCAGAGAAGGTGATTACCACATTTTGACTATATTATCTATTAAAGACAAAAATTTGGAAAGTACAGAAATAAGAAAAGCTCATTTTTTGGCATCAGATACCAGCAAAAGTGTTTTTTGTCAAAACATCGACACTTTTTCCTGCAGCGTTACATACATTCCTCGAAGTAAAGTGAAAAGTTACCGTTGAAAAATAGATTCAGAATATTTTTAAAAACATTTGAAGTGTTAAAGATGTTACACTAAACTAGTAAAAAAAGATTTTTAGCTGTAGAAGCTGTAAAAATTAATAATTACTCTTTTGTTTTTTCAGCAAAATCCAAAAGCACGAGGAGTATCAAAATTTAATAACTTAGCACTTATGTTTGGGAGATTGGGGGAGCCCATTTCACTTTTAAAGGATGACAAAGGAGAAGTAGTGTTCGACTTACCCATTGAGGTTATGGTAAGTTATCGTTTTTCTCTTCTAATTTAATTTTCGAAAGGGACGAAAATACAGTACCGGTCAAAAGATAAATATTACTGTCTTTCGTTGTATGTCTTCCAAGAGAAACTATTGATCGAAAACGGCTGTGGATTTTTTCCTGTTCATTAGAGTTTGTGAAAATTTCTGCAGTTTAAGTAAATTCTGATTTTTGAAGTTCTATATTTTAAAAGAATAAAAGTCTTTGGGCAAAAAATACCGTTCGAAAGCATATGATCCATATTCTTTATATCTTGTGTATAAAATATGAAATTATGTGGTTGAATGATTAACTTGATGCTAGACAGAGAGTAATTCAGAAATTTTTTGTAGTGTTTTTGAACATATTTTCATTTTATGAACATTTTGGAAGGTAATCTTCTTTAGTAGTGATTACATGTCCACTCAGAGAACTAGCACCCTCAGGCAGAAAACCTTTTCGGGCAAAGCATGTATAGGCAAAGGATATTTTTTCTAATTATCGAACCATTTTTTACTTCCTTTCTTCATAAAATAGAAAATTGACTTTCATTTTCTAGAATTAACCGTGATCTTAATCTACAGAAAATTTGTCTAATTTGGTAATTCAACTTTCGCTGTGAGCTTAACAGTAGACAAGATGTTGAGAAATGATTCAGTATATTTTACAACTTAATATATTTTATTACTCAATAACATTTATAAATATCGATTGCATTCATTAAATGTTTATGAAATGTTGTAAATGTTAATGAAGTTAGATGTAAATATCGGAACAAAATATACACGTAGCATATCATTCTACTTTTCTAGAAAGGCCTTAAATCCCTCTGTTTGTTTGGTTTTACACATTATTGATCATTTATTGCAATAATAGAAAACAAGACACACAAAATATTAGAATAATATAACAATTAATAACTTTGCTAGATTGTTTTCCACAAAGTTCGATTTTGTGTGAAAGCAAGTGCGATTTTGAATTCATTTTTTCATATATGCTGAGATTAAACTTACAAAATTATCATAAGTAATACCACGAGTTCTTTGGATATTGTCGATAAATTTCCGACTCACGAAGTGAGGAAGGGATTCATCTGAAAATTTCCAAAGCACAAGTGGTATTTAATAGGACTTTTCACTAGCGAAATTAGGTCCAACAGAGTTCCAAAATGCGCCAAAAATTGAAAATAACTGAAAGCTTGTGGTAAACTCAAAAGTTATGTTATAGTACATGCGTTGTTTATTACATAGCGTAGGTATAGCGATCGATGTATTACGCCTCCTACGATAGATGAGACACATATTATGATTGGCCAGTAGGTAGAAGCGGCACGAAAAATCGGATAGAAAAAGCGATTAACTTTTTGAAATACACCGCCCTGATTTGGGAATTTTGTATGTAAAGTTAAGCGCTATTGGTTTTAATTTCACGAGTGGAATAGTCCACATAAATGCATAAATAAAAGAACGTAGAGTGGTACGTCACGTGAATTTTTGAAATTCTTCAAAAAATGTTCACTAGATAGGAATGATTATTTCTCTTCGACCTGCATTATCGTCCGTATTTGGATCATAATATCTTCTTGCACTCGTTTTTTTGATTCCCATACGTCACATTTACTGTAATTTAACTTCATTTTTGCTAATAAATAAATATATAAATACTATATATAAATAAAATTAAAATAAATGATATAAATGTAAAAAATAATTAAATAAATATATAAAAATATAGGAATAGTCATTAAATATGTTTTGTTTGTCCTACAGCCAGTAGAACGCTACAGAAAGAAGGTGAAAAAGACCTTGAGCAAGAATAAAGTCCGTCCAGTTGTAACAACGTTCTCCACAGCACAAGCAAGTGCACATGTAGAAATAGGAGGACTGGGACAGACAGTAGAATTTCCTGAGATATTTTCTCCGGAAATTGGGACAGTCAACGTAGCTGCCAACGCAGGTAGCACCTCCACCGCCTCAATAGGCGATTTCACTACCAAGGTTGAGGACGCCATCAGAGAGGCCAAATTACTGACCCGTTACGAACAATTTTCGCCGTTCATTCCTCAGCATCGGAAGATGGTAAAGGAGCTGATTGACGTGCTTTTAGGTAACAATTCATTTTTTCTTTCTACATTATGAACTATTGCAGCTACAATAGCAAACTCATTATCTTAATTATTGATAATGGTTTCATAATATTGTAAAATTGCAAGTACTGTCCTACCAATACTTGAGATGTTACTTCAAAAACTAAAGGAAACAGGCATGAGATGTTCGGAAAAAATCACATTTTCTTGAAAATTGAAATGTTAAAATGAAAATAATTTTCTGCTGTTGATTTCAGTAATTCAATTCTATACTTACAAAAAGTCTAAAGAGAAAAAAAACAGAAAAATATTTGCACAAGCACGGAAATGAACTCGCGCGCTAAGCGTTACGAGACAAGAGGCGTTCCCTACGCAACTAAAACGTATGCCAGGAAGAGTCTCCTTAAAATGGTGTGATGTTTACTAAAGTCCCAGCAATTTTAACACAGTATGACTTAACATTATGCGAAAACTAATGCTATCGAAAAACAGTAAGAAATTATTTAAAGCTGTCTAAAAAAATGTATGTGCCGCACGTGATAAAAGTGATTTAATTTTTTCTCGTAAGATTGCGTCACTGCTTATCGGCTTCGTGTGGCAACATTTGCTACTCGTAAAATAAAACATCACTTTTACCACTCGTATCAGTCATACAGACTGTCCGCGAAGAAAACGTCGAAACCTCGAAAATAAGTTTTTAAAACCATTTTAAGCATATTTTGTCGCTTAAGGCGCAATAAGCACTCAAAATTTGGTTTGAAAAAAAATACTTTCTTTGCAAAACTTTGCATTGCAGAAACCTACAAACATTCCAGAAATGTAATTTCTTTAATATTTACAAACGAAATTAATATACTCGTACTTTTTCAGGAAGAAAAATTAACACGGAAATAAGAAAGCACCCTATTTACACAATTCGATTGTCTTTTTTTATATCTGTGTTAATTTTTCTTTGTGAACAAATACATTTATTTATTTTGTAAATAATAAACAATTTACATATTTCTGGAGTGTTTATATGCATCAGCAATGCAAAGTTTTGCAGAGAAAGTATTTTTTTCAAACAAAAATTTGAGTGCATATTGCGACTTATTCATTCAGAATATCCAAGGAGTTTGTTTATTAGACAAAACTCGCTTAAAATTGTTTTAAAAACTTATTTTGAAATTTTCAACGTTTCCTCCCCGGACACACTGTATATTAAATTGGACGCCGGGCTAAAACTCCTCCATCCCTGCAAAGGCAACTGCTTGCAGGGACCGACGACTTCCTGACGGCGAGCGCCATCTGCCGAGAGCGAGTGAACCGCTTCATGTTTATGTACGCGATGAGCGTGGCCATGCTGCACCGCGAGGACACGGCGCAGATGGCGCTGCCGCCGCTGCACACCGTCTTTCCCGAGAAGTACTTCGACGGCGCCATCTTCCCGCACGCGCGCGAGGAGGCCAACATGGTGGACCGCGAGGACAGAGTGAGCGCTGCTTTCATTTTATTTATTTAGTCAAAGAACTATAAAATTGACGTATGGGGTACAAGTACCATATGTGCATGTTTTCTTGAACTTCAGAATCTCTTATCAAAATTTTAACTATAAATAGTTAAATGATGAGAAAACGTTTTAAAGAAAGTGAAGTTAGAAACATTTGAAAACTAATCATTTTCGCACCCGAGTTTTAGAAAATTGATGTCGATCGGTAAATGAACTACAGATTTTATTGTTTTGTATCTCTAATTACAGCCATTTTTCGTTGAATTCATTGACCTGTTCATAAGAGATGTAAAATTCTCTCATGTCAGCGGCTCTCTGACCCTACGATCTGCGGACAGGAACATTTCGTAGATTGATCGTTATTAAGCCGTCTCTAGCGATTTTTGAACTGTAAAAAAATTCGAAGTTGGTGGGCAGTGTGCAGTGTTCGTTAAGTACGCATCTACCACAGGACGCATTATCAGATTACTTCAGACAGTGCCATCTACAATATTTCTCTAGCAAACTTCATTTTTTAAAAGTAAAAACTGATAATTTAAAAAAAAGATCTTGATGAAATAAAATGTTAGATTTGCTTATACCGGCACTTTTTTATGGCGCACGTTAAACCCTTCTTCCTCTCAATGGAAACTTGCTGACGGCTGTTGAAGCGCGAAACCAATTTGTTGACGACCGCGTGCGCGAAACCCATCTAATGCGTATACAATTTCGTGGGACACCTCTGCCCCTGAATTTCATTAATAAAGCTTGTTTGCATAATAAGGATTACAATATTTATTAGAAAATAAGTCGTTCGAATTTATTACATTTCCAAAAAACCTTCAACAATGAAAAATATTTCACTTTAAGACTCGCGATTACTGGCGTTACATTTTGTCTAGCTATTTTTTCATCTTTCTTAATTAGCGGAAGACTCATTCTAACAGAGTTCTAACAGTCCGACGAAACCTTCATTATTATTATTATTATTATTATTATTATTATTATTATTATTATTATTATTATTATTATGATTATTATTATTATTATGATTATTATTATTATTATGATTATTATTATTATTATTATGATTATTATTATTATGATTATTATTATGATTATGATTATTATTATTATTATGATTATTATTATTATTATTACCACTATTTAGCTCTAGCGCACAAAGGTAATTTTCTGGCATCGAGAACACAATACAACGAGAACGGTTCAACAATTTAAACTACCTTATCGTGATTCATTTGCTGCCTTTATAGGAACAAAACAATTCAATGTGGTTTCCAGATACCCCTAGAGATCCCGATGGCCTACACAGCGACTGACTTGGATCCCGAGCACCGCGTGGCGTACTTCAGGGAAGACGTTGGGGTGAACCTGCACCACTGGCAGTGGCATCTGGTCTACCCGCACACCGGGCCGGAGAGCATCGTCAGAAAGGACAGACGCGGAGAACTCTTTTACTACATGCATCAGCAGATGGTTGCCAGGTGACACACACGTTTCAATTATTAATAATAAATGTTGAAAATATAATAATAACAATAATAGCAGCAATAATAATGATAATAACGATAATAACAATAATAATAATAAAAATAATAATAATAATAATAATTTTTAGTTCCTCGCAATCTCATGGAAGATATTTCAGGTTTGAGTAGAATAGTGATGACATTGATTATCGATTGCGTAAAAAGATCAGTAATTTCCTGCCGTTTGGGTAATGACTTCTGAAGTACGCTCTATTTGACTCGGAAGCTACCTCTCAATGTTTACAGGTAGAGTTGAGATTCTCCTGGACGGCAGATCTGACAAATAAAGAACGCAACCCCGCGCATCGCCTTGTGCACAGGTACAACTTCGAGCGCTTCAGCAACAAGCTGGCCAGAGCCCCGCGCTTCCTCAACTGGCGGGAGCCTATCGCGGAGGGCTACTTCCCCAAACTGGACAGCCAGGTGGCGAGCCGCGTGTGGCCGCCCAGACAGGCCGACATTGTCATACAGGTGCTTGCTTCAAATGCTATGTTTTTTGCATGTATGTATTTGGGATTTGTGGTCAATTGTTCGACTTCACTGGCTAGCTAACGTTGCCCCTATGCCTGAGGTTGGTGTAATTCCCACGCTTGGGGAGGGAGGGGTAAGAGAGACGTGGCAAAAACGAATTCCCTTCACCGTAACTGGCAAACTCTCCCTGGCTGAGTTTTTCATGGTCACAAGGCTATACAAACTGCGACTATTTAAAAGGAAAGCTTTTACACTAATTTTACCTCGACCGGGAATTAAACCGGGACAACACAACGCGGAAGGCTACCACCCAGGAAGTGGTGGTGCTACATCTGCTCTGATAGCATCTGTTACAAAAAATAATGATATTGTACCTTCTATACTAATATTACCTGGGCCATCACTTGAAAAAAATCAACATGTATAATGCAAAAATACTATATTTCGGAAAGATGCACACCAAATTTATTGATCTAATATTGAGAAATATCTTGCACGGAGAAATAAATTCTTCTGTCATCCGAGTTTATTTTCCCTTCCTATTCATGTATATTTCTGGTGGTGCCCAACAGAAGTCATTTTATTTCTAAAGACCTGAGAATCGCTGATCTTGAAACGCGTCGCAGCAGCTCTGATGCATTTTGGGTGTAGATAGGTGAGAAAATAATTATAATAATTATAAACTTATTTCTTACACCTCAGTAATGATGCTTTATTATGCAGGATCTTGCTCGAGAAGACTTCCAATTGTATCTAGACGTCCAGGAAATGGAACGCTGGAGAGATCGCATATTTGAAGCAATTCATAGCGGGCGTGTGGAAACCGTAAGTAATTTTTGCTCATAGAAAACACCCCGATTAACTATCCAAGAAAGAACTTCCTCGTGGTCTTGCAGATATTATCGGTGCATATAAAAAGTGTTAATATACCAGGATAGCTGTTTTCTCCAGACCGTAACCCTTTATTTCGCGGACAAGCCCAAACGTATCAAGTGACTTGCAAATTGTATTGCATTTTCCTAGTAAGAACAAACTATTTATTAAATATTTTTCACTTTTTTCTAAAATGAATACTTTTTGAAATAGGTCACTTTTCTTGTAAACTAACGATATGACAATTGCAAAATTCAATAAAAATGTCAATCTGGTCAATCATGTTTGTAAACGTAATTCCTAAAATGAGGCAAAAGAATATATTAAAATATCAAGTTATAAAAATTACTTTCAACAACATCTTTAATGTTATAAATATGTTAAATGTTTGCAATTCTCACTACGTACAATTGATTAAAATGCATTTTTAATGCAGGTAAACAACACATTTATTGACTTGGATGAAGTGAATGGAATTGACATACTTGGAAACATCATCGAAAGTAGTGACATATCCGTACACCCGAATCTCTACGGTGACATGCACAACATGGGCCATATGTTTATTTCACTCTCCCACGACCCCGATCACCGACACTTGGTGAGTATATGCTGCGCTGCTCAAATCTAAGGTTCCACTGCATCAGTCTCCTAACCTACTTCGTGTACATTTGTAGATACTCCTTCATAAATGGAGCATTTATTGTTATACACTGACGCCAAATATGTAAAGAAAAACGGAGAAAATTAATTTTTAGAAAAACGAAAACAAGTGATATAACTTCCACTTTTTCCAACGTTAACACTCATGGCGTGAAACCCCGTTGCAATTATTCAGAGAAAGGGTTGGCACTTTAATGAAACTCCGGCGCACAAATTAGCGTGTCGTCAAGCGCTAAATATACAAATCTGCTTAAATCGACTTACAATCCTGTGTACTGTACATTGAATTGCTGATGAATGATGAAAATAGTAACAAAATTTATTTTTCAATAGTATATTGAACAAAATGCTCTAATAATTTGTAATATTATAATTCGTGCGTTCATATATACAATAAAATGCAATGTAATACCTCAATTTCCGATTGTGTCACGTCGCAATGCGTGCCTTGTTCGGGAGAGAAATATGTGAAGTACATGCATATCGTGTAAATTGATATGCACATTGTGTACAGAGAAGAAATATACTGTTTCAAAAACAAAAATGATGATATAAAAAGAGTTCAAAATAAAACGCATGTGTAGTCACTTAATGTCTCGCCTCCAGGAAACGTTCGGCGTAATGGGAGATCCAACCACGGCGATGAGGGATCCAGTTTTCTATCGGTGGCATGCATTTGTCAACGACTTGTTCACGGCTCACAAGAGAACACTGACTCCCTACACCGAAGAACAGGTGAGCTATTTATTAGTCGATAAGAATCTGCCGCTTCTGGACATAACCTCGCTTGTTGACCTCCAAACATTTGAGACACTGGGACATGTTGAATGGCTGATCGAGTCAAATGTGATCATTCGCTCCGTAAGTTTAGTGCATGTTATATCACGAGAGATTGTGTTGTTTCTCCAGCGATGGAACATGAAATCCGGAGCCAAACAGACTGCACTCTGAAAATGAATTGCCACTGGGCTTCACCTCCAGCCGGGTCAGTAATACAAGTTGTCAACTGCGATAATACTACACATTTAATTATAACTATATTGCTTAGCAAACACAAGACGACTTTTATTAAAATAAAACTGTCGGCACGTATCCTTAAATGAAGTCGTCTAGTCTCTAACACATGTAGGTTAGTGTAGTTCTTTGTACGTTTGTGTCAACTTGTGGAAGGAGAAGTGTTGCTTTTAACAAGAAGGTTTCATTGGAGCTGAAAATCTCCATCTTCTCGCATACCAAATTTATTCCCCAGAGCTACTCATGGAATTATGTAATTTGCTTCGTAACCTCCAACCTGGTCACTAATATAAGTTGTCAATTGCGCTAATACTATTTAATTAAGACTATATTGTTTAATAATCGCTGGGCGTCTTCTATGAAAATATTGCTAACGGTCTGTAATCCAGTTGTTTGTTCTCTCGACAAGTAGGTCAGTATAGTACATGTCATTAAACATACGTGTCAACTTGTAGATGTAGACGTGTTTCTTTTAACAAGAAGGTTTCTATTCCTGAACCTCAAAATCCCCACCTTCTCGCACTTCAAGTGCATTCTCCAGAGCTGCTCAAGGAACAACGCGATTTGCTTCGCGTTTTGTTTCGCAGCTGAACTTCCCAGGCATGCAGGTGACGGAGGTCGCGGTGCTCACGCGCGGCGCGAGGCAGCCCAACCAGTTCCTCACCTTCTGGCAGAAGAGCGACATCGACATCTCCACCGGCATCGACTTCGTCCCGGGCGGCCCCATTCTGGTCCGCGTCACTCACCTGCAGCACGAGCCCTTCACCTACGCCATCAAGGTGGGCGCTCTTCTGCTAAGGTCTCTCTGCGAATAAGCGGTGCATCGAAGACGTACATTATACAACAATCTCAAACCAATGATATTGCGCCTTGTTTTGGTTCTGAGCATAACTGTAGCTCCACTATCTGTGTGAGTTTTCATCAGCTCTTTCAGGAATGTTGAGATTGAAATAATCGTTTTCCATTTTATCGCGGCAGTAAGTAATGCGTAAAGCCTTCACGTAAAGCACTAGGGATAGTAGCCTACCTCTGCAGCTGATTTGTCTTTGCAAACAGTTTTTATTGTACCTGTATTGTAGTTTGTATTGTATTCTCATATCAATTCTCGCCAAAAATGCTGGTTACTTCACGTATTCATAATTAAACTCAATATGTACACGAGTTAGAACAGTGCTCAAAAGACCATGCACAAATTACACTTCTCCCCATTGTTCGTAACATAGTTTATCTGTTTTTTCGACTTTAAATAAATAAATAAAAATTATTGCCGTGCAATTGTAGAACACCAGAGCGGGGATTAACGATGGATCTCAGAATCCATTACAAAATAATGAATGTAAAAACGATATATTCGAGAATTAGTATGTGTAGTTAGCAATTAATTACAGAATATATTCAATTTTTAAGATACGTCAAAGTAGGTAATTAAAAGTTTTGAACTTTTCTGTGTTGCTGTCCTTTTCGTAGAGACACAGACGGCCATTTTTTAGTAGTTCAACATCCACTACATGACTCCAAAAGCACAACTTTTTCTAAACCAGACATCTTTTCTACAGATACTTCAGAAAAGTTGCCAAGTGTTTATGGGCGGGCCTCATTGTAAGCGAATGCCGGAATTTTCACGAAGCTATTACGCAGGACCATTGTTTTGAATTGTTTTATAGCCGACGCGCATTCAACGACGAAACTATCACCGAGAATTGAGATAAGATGTAATAATAAATATCCAAAACGATGAAACTATTATTCTTTCCCTACACAAACATAGAGAAAAAAATCTACCCTGCTCCCGCTCATTGACTTGCGACTATTAAGAGCCGACCTGCTGGTGAAGGAGATGGTGCACTTCTCTGTGCATTAGATTAGGGGTTTCCAACGGTGTAGACATGGATTCACAGGGGGTCAATCAAATTGTCAAGGCATCAATTAAGATCAAGGCGTTGATATAGGGTCGATTGCGGAATAAAAATTGGTGACCGATCACTATTACGTTTCTTAACGACTAACTACGTTTATTTAACCATTTGTACCAGCAGAAAAAAGCCCCGTTTGGACTTTCTACCCCGAGTCTCCGAGAACCTAATATCCCAATTGCTTAGGATGCTTAGAAAACTCAAGAAATTAAAACCAAGTATTCATAATGCCTACATTACAACCATGTATTCACAATATCGTGCAAAACGTATTCTTCACACTGCAAAAATATTATTAAGAGTTCTTAAAAACGCTAAATATTTTATAATCATTGAAAAACAATGTGGGTTATAAAGTCAGCTACTCAGAAGAGGAAGAGTCTCTGATAATTGAAAATCGAGATATTTACGAACATGTTTGTATTCCAAACTGTCTCGTTTATTCATGTGCAATTCCTTGTGATATCATTGTGACGTATTCGATACACTGTACAGAAAATGTAAGGGGTGTGAAGAAAACAATATTTTTTCAGAGGAAACAATGTAAGAAAACGTTTGAAAATCCCTGCTTTAGATGAAGACTGCGAGTGCAAATCCCACAAAAGACATGGATGTTTTCAGTGATTGAATTACGGAATCACGAAAGAGGGAAAAAGCGACAGTTGAGCAAATCCACAACGGATTGAGAATCCGCCCCGGTGGACAACGCCTTCTCAATGTGTCCACAACCGAGTGAGGAGGAGGCCAACGCCTACTCAATGTGCGCAGGTCATGAACTCCGGGCGGCCGCGCACGGGCACCGTGCGCATCTTCCTGGCGCCGCGCTTCGACGAGCGCGGCACGGAGCTCAGCCTGCGCGACCAGCAGCGCTTCTTCATCGAAATGGACAAGTTCCCCTTCACGTGTGAGTACTTTGACCGTCCCATTCGGCGGGGCGATAATGAAAGTTGAGGGCGACGTTGCAAACGGCTTTATTCATTACATTGTCATTACAGGTGTCGATGATTTAGTCATCATCAGATTAAGAATCTGATATAATTGTATAATCATTTACAGACATCACATTTAATATTCATAGCCAAGCTATATAAAGTTGTTTATCATTCAAAGAGAAATAATACTGTTAGAGACTTAATTTTCTATTTTAATTGCATTTAAAAAAATAATATTTCAACAACACGTCATTAGATCAACAATCGTACAAGACTGAGTGGATGCTAGGGTTTGGATTTATGATCTTTTTGATTCCCACCCATGTTTAAGAGAATGTTTTTTTAAGTGAACTGACTCCATTTTGCAATTTTCTTCCTGAAATTAAGTCACCAAGATAACTCAAAGCTGAATAGAAAACGTACAATGAACTTATGGTCCGGTCATCCGAACCTTTGGAACTCCTCAGCGTCCCCGGTTTTTCCCTCACCTCTCCGAACAATGAGACCTCTACACACTATTTGGTTCTTCCGTACGTACCTTCATCCGCCCATAGTTTCGCCATGCCGTCGGTCAACATCTACCTGTCATCTACTGTCCCACCGCCTGTCGCACTGTTCCACCGTGGCCCGTCCCGACGCCCGTCCCGACGCCCGTCCCGACGCCCGTCCCGACGCCCGTCCCGACGCCCGTCCCGACGCCTGTCCCGACGCCTGTCCCGACGCCTGTCCCGACGCCTGTCCCGACGTCTATCACTCATCAGTTCCACTTCCTGATACGCCGACTATCCTAACGTTTACAACTCGTCAACCCAGCTATTTAGCCGTCCCTCACTCCCTCTCTGAACGCACCGATTTGTCTGTTTGCATCTTTCTTTCGCTCATCCGTCGCGTGTCATCGGTCTCAGTCCGCAGCGGGCCGAACACGATCCAGCGCCTGAGCACGCAGAGCTCCGTGACCATCCCGTACGAGCGCACTTTCCGCGACCTGAGCGCGGTGCCGTCCGACCCCGAGGGGCAGGCGCAGTTCTACTACTGCGGGTGCGGCTGGCCCCAGCACATGCTCGTGCCCAAGGGCTCGGCCGAGGGCTTCCAGGCGGAGCTCTTCGTCATGGTCTCGGACTTCACACAGGACGTGGTAAGCAGCCTTCGACACGCCGTACGTTCTACGATTACTGTTCACATACGTACTACGATTCATCGATTACTGTTTACATACGTGTTAACTACTATGGTCAGTAGTCCCGTAAGTGTAGTATGTTAGGAAGTGCGGGAGCTTGTTCCCAGCCTGAACATCCGGGAATTCCGGCGCCGAAATGCACGTCGGCTTGCCGTGGTTTCCGCTATCTACGCATTTCCACCAACCAGACAACGACCCAGTCGGGGCATGCTCTGAGACCCTTGTGCAATTATTGTAACGGGTATCTATATGTTTATGCAGTCTGTAAGAAGGATACTCAACTCTGGTGTTGATGGCCTTGTGGGGTATGTAGGAAAAATCGGCAGCACATCTAAAACACTTAGCTTCAGTGATATTACGCGGTGAATGAAGGAAGGTTTCTCTGCTTATTTCGGCCAATGACGACCCTCGTACACGTACTTGACCGACGCCTTCTGCACTTTAGTGTAGCTGTAGATGGCGTTGATTTGACACATGATCTTGATGGCCATTGGCCGAAAACGCCTTAAAAGGTTCTCCCACTTTCAGCGTGACGTCGCTGTAGTTAAGCGTGTTCGATTAGCTTCGACGCTTTTCATACATACCCCCACCAGCCACTACCGCAGTTGTCTCCTTACAGACTCAATGTATAAGTTTTATTAAGACCGGAAGGTCTCCCAATATTTAATTATGAATATGAAATTAGAGGCGTTGTCTTGACCAACATTATTATTTTTGTAAAAGCAGTTTTGTTGAATTAGACATCATCGTCAGTTATCTGATACAAAGCATAAGTAGTACAAAATCATTAAGTTAAGAACACAATAAATTAATCACAATGGCTGTCATCGACAGCTGTTCTCTAATTCCTTTATTTGCAATACCGTCAACAACACATCACCAATAAACCAATAGGAATATGAAACTACAAGACAGCTAAAACCGTTGCTCGCGTTGCAGGTGAATGGTCCACGCATTCCCAACATGTGCTCAGACGGGCACAGTTACTGCGGCATTCGCAACCAGCCGTACCCTGACCGGCGACCCATGGGCTTCCCGTTCGACCGCCTGCCACGCCAGGTCGATCCGGAAAAGCCCACCACACTCGAGATGTTCCTCACTCCGAACATGATCGTCACGCCCGTGCGAATCTACTTCAACGACAGAGTGGTAGCGACGAGCAACAGAACTAAATTAGTCATCTAGAATCGTTCAGATGACTCGGTTTACTGTAATTAGATATGCAGAAGTTTCAGTAACTACACGCAGTAGACTAGACTCGTCAGCCCGAGGCAAATGGAAAAACCTTGAAATAATAATTTGAAATTAATTTTTAATAAATGTTAGCACTGATATTCTGCGTCTTTTTCCATTATAAAGAAGTATTACAAATGATGACAAGCTTTTCATTGTTTGTAGAAAAATATTGGACAATCGAGCGCAATGTGTTTCAAAATACTGAATGTTCTGTACAGAACTACCTCGTTATCGGGAATTCGCTTAACGTGAAAAAAAACTTAGTCCCGCTAAAGAAACATTAAAAAATTGAAAAGATAACAGGAATTTTTAAAACAAGAATGGTGATTATTCGGTCCTTTGAGATTCGTGTTAACGACGATTAAATTTACTTAGAAAAAAGTCTTGAAATGTTAACGATGATTGCATTGGTGTAACCGACTCATATCTTATCATTTAATAACGTTTAACACGTGATTAGGCTTCATTTCTATTTTTCTCGAGATGATTAGCAATAATTCTTCCTATCCAACATACACATTCACTATTCTAGATAATTATATTTTTCTTGCAATTGTTTTGTTTTTAAAAAGTGTGCGTAAACATTAAGTTGATTGGAAAATATATGTATTTCAGTTTCTGATATTTTCTTGTTCATGCGAACATGAAATATAAGCAGTTATGCATTAAATTATCATTTGTTCAAAATATATTTTGAAGCTCAAGTATTAGATTATGTGTAATCTACGTTCAGCATACAAATATCATCAAGAAAACAACAGATCGATAGTTTAAAGTTTTGTAAAAATCTTTCTTCTTTACTGAAGATATATTCAGTCCTACTGTGATGTTTAAATTACTGAAATAAAGTTAACCTATTTTGTTCCATAGTAGATATTTAATTCGTTTTCAGTCCGAATTACTCCCGCACAAACTAACAAGTCTTACCGAAATATTTCACAAAGCCTCCAAAAGGAAAACAATACTTACGCAAAAATGTCTGACCAAATTATTTTTCAACCTCGCAAGACCCTCCTAATCTCAAAACAAATGGTAAAGAAGAAGCGTACACATAATACACCAATAGTCGTGACAAAGAAAAATACATTGGTGTTTATTGATTTAAGTTTCACTCCACACACTAGAAAATTGTTACTTTACTTCTCTAAACCAATATCATTTTTCCATTTAAGAAATATCAACACAGGCACGACTTCACCAGACAACTCCACATTTCCTGTACACTTACGCTAATTTGTTTCACATAAATTGAGATCAAAGATTAAGTACAATTGATAATAAAACTTGGAACCAACTCATTTCCAAATCTTCGTTCAGTACGAATATAGATTTCAAACACTGTCGGCGAAGAGATGTTCCAGTCATTAATAGTTATATTCAGAAAAAATATTTTGTAACATTAGTCCAGTGCTTCTTAAGATCGATTGTGTAATGGAAATATCCCCTCACTATTGCAGCAAGTTTTCTCAATTCGACTCTGAGTTTCATGCTCGAGATACAACGCGATAAGCCGTTTTTCCTGGAAGGAACCCTCGAGTCATTTAAATATTTCGATGACCCCCAACAAAGTAATTCAACTTCCGATGGCTCACGATCTCGGTCAAGACTACCTCGATTCTCCCGCGTCACGGCAGGTGGAACCGGAACGAAACGTGCGCACGTCACATCGCTTACCCTTCCCCGTGTGCGCAGCGAATAAATACACGGCCACGACGCTTTACCCACCCTCGCTCGTAAAAGAACGACTGTGAGGTGGAGAGGCGGGAGAGGGAGAGGGAGAGAGAGAGAGAAAGAGAAAGAGAGAGAGAGAACGGGGTGGGAGGGGAAAGGGGGGTGAAATCTTTCAGGAAAATGTGGAGCTGATCCTGAAAATGTGTTTGAAAATATAGGGAATTGGATTAAAACATTGATATAGTTTTCAATTCAATGCATAAACTCACCCAAGCAAATATACGGAATACGTTTCCAACAGTAATGTATGATAGGGATATTAACAGTAGTCGGAATATTGCATTTCAAAAGTGAATCCAAAATTACAATGTGACACATACCATCACACACAGATAGCATAAGTTGCTTTGAAATTATCGGTCACATAATTATTTTATTAAAACCCCTCGTTTTCTTTTTGCGTATTCACCATTACCAAATATGCTCTATTAGCTACAGAAGTTCGATTGTGTCTTAGGTATTACCTAAGTGTAAAGTGGTCCACTATTCATTATTTACTCACCGAATCTGCAAGCCTTTTGAGAATTATCGCCAACAAGACAACTTTGATATCAGAAGTTCAAGCCATAACCATACGGAGAGGACATGACCTTGATAGACCTGCAAACAAACATTCTTGATCAAATTTCGGCATGCGCAATGAATACCTGGTTCAGTCAAATTTCCCTTCTTTTCAGAGCTGGACTTAACTCAAGAATGACTGAAATTACATCGGGTTCGTAACGGTGAGATATTAACATTGGGTACATGTAAACAAATTTCAACGACATAAAATCCTAATTTTACACAGTTGTGCAAACTTCAAAAGTCGAGCCCCATAAAGTAGGGAGAATTGACTTAACTTCCACTTACCCACAGAACATTCGCATTTATTACCCACTATTTAGTAAATCACAAATAGTGAATGAAGCATTAATATATATTTAATTTAAAACATTAGGTTATCTCTTAGGTTCTCAATGTCAAGAAGAATTCAAAAGGAAACCAATGGAAAGGGTAAAAGTTCATTTCCCTTAAAATGGAGTAAATAATAAAAATAAATAAAAGGAAGAAATCTGAACAGGTACCGTGCAATTTTGGACACATAAATAATACTCCATATCATAATTTTCAACATTCCTTATCTCATATTACAACTAATTTTTCTCATCGTTTCATAATTATAAATATTATTTTTCATACAAATTTGTACATTAATTTCTCGTACTAGTAATGTCAAAATACATATTTTGTGGGTTTGTAATACCGATATAGTAACTTTTCTCAAAACGTATCTCTGCCGCTGCCGGTCTCCAGACATGTAAGGTAGTTTGATACAAGGGTAGGGGTGGGTATAAGTGAAATGGGACAAGGATGAGGTAGGAAAAACAGCGAGCGCTCCCTGGCCGGTTTGTTAGGATACTTCATCGGCATTCACCTGGCGTTCAGTGGAGAAAGCACGGTAAATGATCAGAGCAACCGACCGCTAAAATTCTACGGACAACAGCGGAATTCGACCTAACAATCTTAAGTAGTGTCGAAAATCCAACATCGTCGGATCTCTAAGAGATTGCAGGGGCAAGTGTTGTCTCTGAGCTTCCACAGCCGGTGCGCGACCTGGGTGTGGAGACGCCCTTCGTGCTGAGAAGGAATATTAGGGGAGGTCGGCGTGCCCCGCTCACAGCGGCGCACCTGACGAGGGACCGTCGATGGGGGTGGAAACACATGTCGGCGTGGCATGCAACGGGCGCCGGCGCTGGTCTTTCGATCAGGTCGACGAACCGACAGGGGCCCAACGCTTGGGCCAACTATAGGGGGAGGTGAACAGGGAGGGGGGAGCCATCTTGCCCCAAAACGGTGCATCGATAGGGGAGTTCACGCGATAGAGCAACATTAACTTATCCGTGAGGTTTGTTATTAAATTAAATAGAATTCGATCATTAAAAGGTTTCCGCGAAGTTATTTTCTTGATTTGTAGTTTGTTCCAAGACGATTTTGCTATTTTTGGTTTGAGAACGAAACTTCAAAGTAAATCAAAATGACATTTCTACAATATGCTTCTTACAAACGAATGTTCATGAATTCGTTGGTGGAAAGTGACGATACATTGATATCGAAGCAAAGTGAACACTGAATATTTGTCCTCAAATCAATTCACCACGTACTTTAAATTACATGGGCAATGCTTAGTTTATCTTAAAATTTACGTTCGAGTAAATGTGGACATTTTCACTTAAGGGTGTTCAATGTTATAAGAACAACATTAAAGCAATTTAAATGCAACTTTGATTGCGTAAAAATGTATGGATGTCATGCAATGTTTCAACTATTTACGGTTGAAATAGAAACTACTAAACGCAGTTAACGGCTTCAAACAAAAATTAAGAGACCTTCATTTGCAGGGATGTAAATATTGAATAGTATGCTGAATTAAATGTGCTCAAAGAATTTATTTTGTTTGATTATCTATAAGTGTTTTCCCAGTGAACGTACCAGAGTTGGAGGTAATTAATTTCCTGCTAAACAATTTTTGATAATAGATATGAGAAATTTAGAATAGAACCTAAAGATCAACCCACTCGACGTTCGCCGTTACTGAAGACGCATACAGAAATAAATTTGCATCTCATTGTAGACAGAATTATGTGAAGAATTTTCAGAGGATTAAAAAAAATCTAAAAGGGGGTATATCTGAGTTTCTATACATATGCGGTGAGGTTATAGCTCACTTCCCTTATGGAATGTGTTATTTTAGTTTCCATATTCTTAAACAGACTTCATAGATCTCAACCTCTGATTACACATGATTGGTGAGTCTCGCTTCCCTCCTTTCACTTTCCGTTTTAATACTATAAGTATGCTAAAGTACCTTATTTCGTCAAGTACATGTGCGTGTTCTTTGTTTCTGTCACAGGTCCGCCGTGTCCAGTGCGATCCTCCAATATGATATTATTCTTGGGCATGAAACTGATCATTTGTTTAGGACGCAGAAAATTCTAAGAGATTTTTTGAAGAAATCGGGTTTCGGGGGCTTTTAATCAGCTGAAAGCACTTCTCTTCATAGTCCGTATTTATCTATATTTTGGCGTTATATAAATACGTAAGTGCATTTTTGATGAGTATTTTGTTACCTACAGATGCGATCAATAGCTCTTAGTATTTGTATTGATACAACGAATTGAATGGCATGATTTTTAAGTTGATCTTTCTACAACAGTCTGGAAAATTTCTTCGAAAATATCTTTGTGCTTGTTTCGTACTTGCATTGGTGAAACATTATTTCTATGCTGCCTTTCCGGACCAACGTGATTCATTAAGACTTAGTTCATCAGAGTAGCGATAGACCTGAATTTGTAATCGAAATATTTTTAAAGTGTTTCTATCGATAAGTTTTCGGGTAACATCGCATGCCCGAGGAGGAACAGCCTGATAGCACATTATTCTTACAATATTATTTGTGTTTATTAAGAACATGTTTGTCATAAATGAAAGTT